TTAATTAACAAACACTTAATCTCTCATCTTGAATCTAATAACTTATTTTCTGATCATCAATATGGATTTTGATCTTCTCGTTCTTCAGCCAATTTGCTAACAGTAATAACCAATAGGTTTTATAGTACATTAGATAGAGGTGGAGAGATTAAGGTTATCTTCTCCGTAAGCTTTCTTCTTACGGTGTATCAGGTAACATCGATGAAGTTACAGGATATGAAGAAGAGTGCTTGATGGACAGCACTCTTCTTCATATCCTGTAACTTCAGGGGTTCCTCAAGGTTTTATCCTTGGCCCTATACTCTTTTTAATTTACATTAACGATTTTCCAGATATTCTCACATCTAAGTATCATTGTTCGCTGATGATTCTATTATTTATTCTTGTCATGATAAGAAACCAACAATCTCTGATTGCTTGGAGGGGGGCATTTGAACTCGAAAAGGATTTCACTTCTGCTTCAGCATGGAGCTCACAGTGGCTGGTGAACTTTAATTTAGTTAAAACTCAATTTTTTTTCAGCCAATCATTACCACAATAATTTAGATCTATATTTATGAACAGTGATGTAATCCACAAGTCATCTACCTTTCATCTTCTTGGATTAACTCTTACTTACCAATCTTTCATGGAAACCATTTATCAAATCCATTGCAAAATTAGCATCTGCTAGGGTTGCTTCTCTTTATTGTGCTCTACACTTTCTTACTCTGGATTCTATTCTTACTCTGGATTCTATTCTTTATCTCAAATCTGTCTTTGTATGGAATACTGTTGCCATACCTGGTATGGATCTTCCAATGATGCACAATGATTAATTCAAATGATCAAGCTAAAATATCTTGATTTTTTACTAATTAAAAAAAAAAAGCAGGTACATGTATATTACCAAAAAACACTCTGGATAAAATGCATATTGTCAGGACTTGCACGATTAGAGTAATGCCTACCATTAAACCTATTTTAAAGACCAGATATCAAATGCAGAAGCTATGACACTCATATTTATTTGTAAATACAATCTTCCAATATCTTTAAAATCCCATATAATTGAATATGCAAAGGAAATATCTAATGATCATTATGTTTTAAAAAATTTGAAAATGTTCAGAACAACTGCTTCATATAAGCTGCGAGAAAGAACAGGTGAAGCTTTTCAAGCTGAACTTGTTTTTGATATAAAAATAAAAAAGTTTTCCCTTAACATAGATGAGTGTTTCTCTACAAAAAATGAGAAAGTTCTTTGTATGCTAGGAGCCTATTTTTTCAACAAACTTAATAAAGTTGTATTAAAACACTATGATTCATTATTGTTTGTTACTAATCTTATTTTATTTTGTATTAATCTTGACTATTGGTGGAAGTTTTTAAGTGTAAAAGTCTTGGCTATTGGTGGCCAGAAGTTTTTAAGTGTAAAAATTACTTAGAGTTTAGTAAAATTATACAAGGATATTCAGTAGTCATCATGTTAAGCAATCAGTCATGATGATGAACACCATAGTTTAAAAAAAAAACCCTTGATACTTTATCATGCTCTGCTATAGCTTCAGTTAAGAACCAATTATTAGCAAACAAAACAACAGCGCTCGGGTACTTTAAGAAACGAGATTTGCATGAACAAAAACTTCTGTGCTCATTTGCAAAATGCAACCAAACGCTATATTAAAAAAATGAAATTCCATCGGAAAAACCAAAAAGTATTTTTTTAAACATAAGTTCAACATGAAAAAAAAAATCTCCATCGATGAATGGTACAAAATAGTATAATAATCTATTATTGATCATGCAAATAAGTGCAGGAAAAAAAAGCTGATGAATTTTTTGCAACAAAAAATTATAAGAATAAAGAGTATTGATTTCTGAACCATTGTCTGATATTTTATATTTAAAAAGTAAATTAATTTATCACGCTTTGCAGATTATTTACGGTAAAACTAAGATATTTTCTAAGTGTAAAAATCTTTGACTTAAGAGAATTTTAGAAAAATATTTTTATTTAGTTGTTTTTAGTTTATTTATTCCTTTACCATTGTTTTAGAATTTACCCACATACTATCTTTAAATTGTTGACTGTAAATATTTTCCAGGTTTTTTGTAATTTTTATAAAAATAGTTTTCTGAGATTTTTACAAAAATCTCCAGAGTTTTCATTAAATTAAAAACTCATCTATAGATATTTCACAAGTAGTGTGTTAAAGAGAGTGTTTTATGATATGAGTGGGAGTGTTTTATGATATGAGTGGGAGTGTTTTATAATATGAGTGGGAGTGTTTTATGATAGGAGTCGGAATGTTTTATGATATGAGTGGGAGTGTTTTATGATATGAGTGGGAGTGTTTTATGATATAAGTGGGAGTGTTTGATGATATGAGTGGGAGTGTTTTATGATACGATTGGGAGTGTTTTATGATATGAGTGGGAGTGTTTTATAATATGAGTGGGAGTGTTTTATGATATGGGGGGAGTGTTTTATGATATGAGGGGGAGTGTTTTATGATATGAGGGGAGTGTTTTATGAAATGATTGGTAGTGTTTTATGATATGAGTGAGAGGGTTTATGATTTTTATATTTACATTTTAAAATTTATTTTTTTAAAGATTTCTTTACTTATACTTTATTATCATTTTTTACTTTTTTACATATAATATTTGATATTTTTTAAGAAAATTATATTTCCTAATTTTTATAGGAATCTGATGATGATGCACTTTTGCAGAAATCAGAAAATGTAACTTCTACAACCCAAAGTTCAGATGCTCCTCTTCAGTTTTTATATATTCAAATGGAATTTTGTGAAAAGCAAACGCTTAAGTCTGCTATTGATGAGGGATTATACAAACAACCAGATAGAGTTTGGAAGTTATTTCGAGAGATTGTGGAAGGCATAGCTCATGTTCATGCCCAGGTTTATAGTAAATCTTTTTATATTTATTTTTTTATTATACTAGAGATATTTTTTTTATTAAAAGATAATCAGTTCTCAGAAATCATTTTAATAAAAAAAATTCAAAAATATATATGAACATGTTTTTAATTTAAAATTAATTTTTTAGGGTATTATTCATCGTGATTTAAAGCCAGTAAACATTTTTTTGGATTTTACTGACAGAATTAAAATTGGTGACTTTGGGCTTGCCACTTCACATGCATCATTTAATCTTGATGCAACAGCACTTTTTCAACCTTGTGACTCTACTTATTCAAACGATGATAGGATGACAGGTAAAGTTGGAACAGCTCTTTATGTCGCACCAGAACTTGGACAATCAAATAGTCGTATTAAATTCTCACAAAAAGTTGATATATATAGCTTAGGCATAATTTTGTTTGAAATGTTTTATCATTTTGAAACATCTATGGAGAGGGTTAAGAATATAGCCTTACTTCGAACGGTAAGTAGTATTAAAGTTTTTATTGGTAAATAAACTCCAGCAGATTGTTGAAAGCTGATTGGCTAACTAAGCACTTGGAAATATGTTAATGAATTTAAGTTGAATTTTTTGATGTTTGATTTGTGTTATTTAACAGGATAAAATCATTTTTCCTCAAGACTTTACTGATAAAAAATATGAAAAAGAAAAGTACCTTATAAGTTGGCTTCTCAATCACTCCCCTGATTCTCGTCCAACTGCTTTGGAGTTAATGGAAAGTGGATATTTACCCCCGAGAATTGAAGACAGCCAATTAGATGAGCTAATTAAACACACATTATTTCAAAAGAATTCAACAAGATATCAACGACTAATATCAGCTTTTTTTACTCAAAGTGTTTCTCCAGTCTCTGATCAGATATATGATAGTGATTTGCTTGGTAAAAATGAAAACCACACAATACAACAAGCTCGCATTCTGCAATATGTGCAAAGCATTATGACTAATATATTAAAGAAACATGGAGCTGTATTTATTGATACACCTTTACTAACACCTAAAGGAAAAAATTATGAAAATATTCATAATCTTGCTTGTGTTTTGGATCCTAGTGGATTACAGTTATGTCTTCCAGTTGATTCTAGACTTAGTTTTTCAAGATTTATTATTAGAAATAAAATAAACCATATTCGTAGATATTGTTTTAGCAAATTGTATAAAGATTTTGGAATTAAAGGAGCTCATCCAGTTGAATCATGGGATTGCTCTTTTGATATTGTTTCAAACTCATTCTCAAGCTTCTTGCCAGAAGCAGAAATTATGTATAGTGTTTATGAAATAATCAAGGAGTTTCCATCTTTAACTCAAAGAAATTTATACATTCGACTTAATCATTCAAAGTTCATTGAAGCAATTTTTTTGCAAAATGGATTTAGTGACGAAGCTCAACAAGAAGTATATCATATACTTGAGCATGTCATTGATAAGAAACAGCAAAATTCAATGTTAAAAGATTTTTTTATATACTTGGGTCTTCCAGAGCATGTTATAACACGCTTGCTAGTTTGTTTTACTTTTGAAGGAAGTTTAGCAAAAGCAAAAGAGAGTTTACAGCTTTTATGCAAATCAAAAGCAGAAGTAAGTACCCTAGCTAAACAAGCGTTTTCTGAAATAGAAAAACTTATAAAACATCTAAAAAACATGTTCGTTGACATTCCTGTTCACATTTGTACATCACTAATCCACAATTCTAATTGTTATTCAGGACTTATATTTCAATATGTAGCAGAAAATCATAGAAAAAATAAATATGGAAGATTGGACATAATAGCTGTAGGCGGATGCTATGATAAACAAATTGAGTCATTGAGTAAATATGCTGAATCAACTTTACCTCATGCAGTTGGAGTTAGTTTAGAAGTTGAGTATTTTTTACATGCTGCACGTAAAGATAAAATTGACTCTTTAAACCCGCACATCAGTAATTGTGGTGTCATTGTTTGTTCATTGACCAGTTGTACTAATTTAAACTCTTTAGTGAATGTTATACGTGACTTGTGGGCTGGAGGTATTAGTGCTGTCTTATACTCTTATGACTCTGAACAAAGTTATACTATTGAAGACATTCAAAATTACTGCAAGGAAAATAGTGTAAATCATATTGTTGCAATAAAAGATTCTTTTATAGGGGTAAATTTTTCAGTTTAAAATTTTTTTAGTGCAATATTTTTTATAGTTGCAATTTTGTTGAAAATCAAAAGTAAACTTATTTTTATTTTTAAGTTTTTTAATACTTACTACATATTCATTTTTTCTTTTATTTGTTTATTTTTGTACTATATATGTTATTTTTTTTTTTTTTGTACTGTATATGTTATTTATTTTTGTACTATATGTTTATGAACATGCATAGGTACGATCTAGAGAGAAAGAAAAGTTTGGTGATTGGCGTGCTCTTTCTGGAAAAGAACTAAATGATTACCTAAATCAACGCTTGTTATGTAAAATAGAACATAGAACAGAATCTAGAGAAGTGGAAACAGTAACCAAGGTAACAGTTTTGTTAATTTTTTTATCTATGCTTTATTTCTTCAAGTTGATCTCTAACATAATGGCTTTTTTTTCAAAATACTTATCTTAATTGTTTTTTCTACTTTAGGCTAATCATCTTCAGCCAATTAATTCAACTTTATTTTTCACTTTTGTTTCTGTTGACAAAATTGATTCTGGAAAGAAGAAAAAATTTGAAAACAGTTTTTGCTCAAAGTTTCTAAGTGAAGTTCACAGATGTTTTGGAAATAATTCAATTCAAGTAGTTGCTGTAAGTTATTTTTTTAAGTTGAATTCATTTATGTGGAAATATATAAGCAAATGTATATATATCTATACACACATTTTTATTTGTATGTAAATGTATATGCATACTTATGTGTCCATAATATGCATGTGTATACATAATGCGCGAATGTTTAATATAATTTATAAATGCGCTTATGTTTCAGGCCATTAAGGTTTTGTACTTAAAAATGACTAATGATTTTTAATCACAATGGAATGATAATATTAGGTACAGGAAATAAAGTAATATAGTAAAAGAATATTTATGCTTGTGTATGTTTTCATATAACCATTACATTTGCAAAAGTTTCTGATGACATAATTTATATTGAAACAGTAGGACGATCAAAGATGCAATTTTTAAATAATAGCTTGTTGAATGTTTTTATTTAATTTATAGAAGCAGAAACCTGACTCTTGAAATGTCATGAAAAACACGTACTTGTAGTTCTGGGACATAAAAACTAAATGATGTGGCACCTTTTTTTATATTAAAAAAAGTTTTTTTTTCAAACTTATTTAAATTAAATTTTCTTGGAAATGATGGTATTCTACATGTATGACATCCTATTGGCATAAAAATATTTTTGCTACAAAATTCCTGAGAGAGAGAGAGAGTTGTTATGTTGTATATATATATATATATATATATATATATGTATATATATATATATATATATATATATATATATATATATATATATATATATATATATATATATATATATATATATATATATATATATATATTAATTTGTATTTGCTTTTTAATATTACTATGTTAATTTTCTAATATAAAAAATTACGTTTTAGACAAAATTAGAACGTCTTGAACTGATGTCTGTTGCAGCTTATCTTGAGTTAAATGGTTCCAACGATGAGTTTGATTCTAGTGTTCGTTCATTGATGGATATGTTTAAAGAACGTGGTCAATTTATGAAAAGAGTCTGCAATACAATACATAAAGTTTACACTGAAAGCCGATCTGTTGTTTTACTGTACTCTTATGTTGCTGAGTGTTATAAAGTTTTTACATAATTTTTTAACATTACAATTGTTGGTGTTTTACCCAACAGACTTGCTTGTATATATATAAAAAAAAATATATTGTTTTTTATTATATTTACTATTATAAAAAATTTTCATGTATGTTTTAATAGTTTGTATTTAACTTTATAGTTATATTATAAAAAATCAAAAATCTGATTGGTCATACAATCTAATTTCTTTTTTTAAATAATTTTGAAAAAGGATATTTGTATTTTTAATGGCTTTATTATAAAAATTTTTGATCTAAAGGTGAAAAAAAATGCTTAATAACAACATTAATTCAACAACAGATGTCAAAGAAATAACATCCTTGGCAGATCTAGAGTATGTAGGCCACATTTTTTAAAATAACTTTTTACATATTATTGAGTTATATTAAAATTATTTAAAATATTATAATATTACATGGACATGGTCTTTTAGTTGGTTTCATGGAGATATCAGTCGTTTAACAGCAGAAACTATTTTGATCAATAATGCAAATGAAGGAACCTACTTGTTAAGAATTAATTCTGATAAGCAAAACTATTCCGTCTCTGTGCGGTAAGTAATTGTATCAATAGTATACTGCACACATAGTATAATCTCACAGCTAAGTATTGCATAAAGTGAAAATAAACATAACAGAACTTTAGCACCCAGTAAAAATATTTACAGTGAAAACATATTTGTTTGTAATTTTTTGATAAAATATAAAATTTATAAACATTTATAAGGATAATTTTGCAATTGTTTTTGGTTTTTTACAGCTGTCAGAACTCTATCAAACATTATGTGATTAATCATGATAAAAAAAAAAACATCTTTGTATTTGGAACAGCTACATTCTATTCTTTGAAAGAACTTTTGGATCATTTTGAATCACATCCGGTGCTTAGCAGTGCAGAAGGTATTTTTTTTTTACACTTGTATTAAATGGTTCGGTGTCTTTAAAGCGAAACTTTTAAGAGCGAAAGTTTTGAAAGCGAAAGGTCGGGAAAGCGAAAAAGTTAAAAGCGAATGCGATTGGTTAAGCGAGAAAATTTTTTTAACAACATTAGTAACATCTTAAATTAAGATTTTATTAAGATTTAATAGCATCTTAATAACATTGGTAACATCTTAATAACATTTAAATAACATTGGTAACATTATTATTTTTATATAAATACATATGAGTTAACCTATTATTCTTTTTCATTGAATTGTGTCATCTTAAAGTTGTTACAATTGAAGTGAGTCAATTTCAGAAATAAGTTCATGAAGTTTATTATAAACTTTAAAAGTTTATACTTTATAGAAAATTGAGTAGGGCACAATTGAATTGTTTAGAATTTTGCTCCAAAACAAAGCGTAAAAGTTAAGTGTGTATACCAATTATAATAGGGAAAATTAGTTGTTTTCGCATAAAAAATTTAGTTAGTTAGAAGTAGTTCTCTTTTATGTGCCAGCATATCGGCCAGTTATATTTACTGTTTAATTATCTGCAAGGCAAAGTGAGTATTTTAATATTTTTGTTTAAAATAATTTTAATAATTGTTATCAGACATTCACTTTAGAAATATGAACTATAGCTTAAACTTTAGGCTTTTAAGTTAAAGCCTGTGTCAAAAATGACTTTTATATGTTGTATTTAAATATGACTTAATGACATTATTTATATGACAAAAATGGCTTTTATATGGTGCATTTGCCTGAAATTTGACTTATAGTCTATTAGTCAAAAATCACAATATAAGTCTCTATAATAAAGATACTTATATTGTGACCATTATGTATGGCATTATCTTGATCGATGTTGTTACACTTGGAATATGTTGTTTCAACTTTTAGGTATTTTATTTTGCTACAATTTTTTTATGATGTTGTTTTGATTTGATTTGTTCTGTAAACAGAAAGCTGTACAGTGTCCTTTTTTTTCCCACCTGTTGAATTTCAGCAACATTTTTGTCAAAATTATTTATAGTTCATTTTACAAGAGGTAGTAGAAGATTATTTTATTTTTAACTACTTTCTTATTTTGTAATGTGGTTTTTTTTTTTAGAACAACTTAAGAGTATGATTTAATAACTGTGTGAATCTTCTTGGTTGATGCCTAAAAGATTTTTTGAAGGCAGTTCTACATTTTATTGAAATATAAAAACATGCCAATATCCCAAAAATTATTCTGCGTAATGTTTTTTGGATTGTTTGCATGTAAAATTAAAAATTCAGTCATTAATTGTGAAAAAGACTAATTGGCTAATTAGTTTAAAAAGTTTCAATGGTGATGATTGATTGGTGAGAAACTTATTTACTTTTTATGTTTTAATTACATGATTTGTAAATATTTATGATATGAATTGTTTGTGATCTCAGTATAGTAAAGTTTTTATTTCTACATTTGTATTACTTAGCACAAATATTTTATAATTTTGTCTACAGATTGGTTTGTAATAGTCTTAATTATCTTATTTACTTAATGTTCAGTATACTGTTATGTTGTTTTTAAACTAGATAAAATAGTTTTTAAAACGAAAATGACTGCTGGCTCTATATGAATCTAATTTAAGTTTACTTCTTTAGGAATTTTATATCATATATTAAGTTTATTGTATTGGTAACTTTTTTATTACTAAAAAAAGAATTTTGTTACACAAAAAAAAGTGTAAAATGCATAACATCCCAGCTATTACAATATATTGGAGGGCTTTTATTGGAAATGTTTTTTTTTTAACATTTTCATTTCCAACAAGACTGCAAGCACCTACTATTAGAGAAAAGATGAAATTTATAGAGTAAAATAACAACTAACAGAAAAAATTAATAGATTGCGAATTATATGAAAAAAAACAAACAAGCTGAAGCAAGTGAAAAAAAAGTTTCACGAAAAAACAGATTAGAACTTTTTAGGCACTTAGGAACAGTCATATTAAAGGATTAGCCTTTATTGAATGATGAGTAACACAATAGTGAGTTTTAGTAGATGATACAAGAGACGCTAGCTCTTTAGAGCAGTGTCCATAATTGTATTTATAAAAAATAAAATGAGAAGCAACATTATGATAATATTCTAATGGTTGGAGGTTGGCTGCAAAGGTCAAGGTGCAAAAACAATTCCTTTTTGTACCTTGTCTAAAAGAGAAAGGCCATTACTGGAAGATCTGATTAAGATATGGCAAAAGTGTTCCATGCAGGGATGGATGTAAGATTTATAGAGATAAGACATAAATATTTATAGAGATGTTTGAATTGATGAATACTTTTAAATTTAATATTGTATCATAAGTTGACAATATATTCAAAGACTGAAATTTAGCACAATTGTATTAAGCAAAAGTCTTTGCACACCACCAATTAAGCATTTATATTTCAAGAGTTGTTTATTGATAAAAGCTTGCCTTAATTTACATAAATAGTAATATTTGTAGATATTATTATCTACTAGATAATAATTTATATTAAAAACTAACCTTTATATGTCTCGTTTTCAAATATGTTGTGTTGATATATTTGCCCTGGCTTTTAGTTTATGACTCAAAATTTAAACATCAATTCTTGAGGTTTAACTATCTCATCATTTCTAAAAGTATTAAGGGTAGACAGCCTAACTCACCATACCTAATCAAAACAAAAGAACATTATAAATTCGTATCTTTCTAATTTTATGAATAATTTTTATTTAAACATTAAAACAATTTTTTGGTTGAAATCTAATACATAAATTTCAAAAAAAAAATTAAAATTAAATAATATCAATAAGAAATTACGCAAATCTTTTTTTTTAATCTATAACTTATTAACTTGTAGTGCAATTATAATTTTTATGCAAGATTTTATACCTTTTTGTCGCAATGTAACTCAAGTCTCAGCTAGAATACCAAATGAATAAATAATTCTAAACTATATGCATTTAATTCTATACTAAAACTATATACATAAACTCTAAACTATATACAATAAGTTTTTTTTATTTATTTAATCTAATAAACTCTAACTGTAACTATAACTCTCAGCTAGAATATCAAATAAATAATTCTAAACTATAACTAACTTATAATTATAAAAATATTATCAGTTTAAAAAAAATAAAATCCAAACGCTAAATAATCTATAATATAATATTGAGATAATAACAAAATCAGAAAAAATTTCAATAAATTTCAGTTGTTGTTGCTGTTGAACTTATCGCGATACTCGATTTCCCGGTTTTCGCTTTCAAACTTTTCGCTTTAACGTTCTTTCGCTTTAAAACATTTCGCTCTTACGTTCTTTCGCTTTTAAACTTTTCGCTCTTACCTCCCATTACCTATTAAATACTATACATGTGTGTATACATAACTATTGTGGTAGCAAGTATAAGTATGAAAGCATCTTCACTTTTTACGACCATAAAAAAAATTTTCTGTGCAAAAAAAAAAAAAAAATTATACAGATGCAAAAAAACTGCATAATTTTTTTTTATTCGACAGCTTTGTTACTGTAAAAGTAACGCAGTAACTTTAACTCTGAGTACATTTTTAATAAGTTACTTTTTACTTTTACTTGAAGTAAACTTTTCGACCGGTAACTTCCACTTGTACTTGAGTAAAATTTAACTCAAGTAACAAAATATCATTCAAGTAACAGTACTTTTACTTGAGTACAATTTTTTTTTTACTTTTTCCACCTCTGTATATCACATGGTAAAAATGAATTGTTTATTTTATGATTCGTGTTTTATGATGTGTCATATAAAAACTCATAAAATCCAAAATTATTTTCTATATAAATTAATATTTAGAATTCAACTCATTTTAGAGTTCAAATTTTATGTTTTTAGTTAATATTTTTCCTTTAGCATCATATTGAACTATGTACATTTGGTTAACAAATTGGAAGAAAAAGTTTTCTTTTCAACACAACAACACAGCAGATTTATGTCACAATGTGTTTAACAACTAAATTTTTTTTATTGGCAAGTTGTTAGATTATCAGGGTTCCCACTCCTCTTTAAAAACCTTAAATATCCTTGAAGAAAAAAAAAACTCCTTAAAAGTCCTTAAATAACCTTAAAAAAGTTAAAATTTGAATGCTCCTTAATTTCTCCTTATTTTTAATTTTTTTTTAATCTAGGAAATTTTATTAAAGTCAATGGATTATAATCTAGGAAATTTTATTAAAGTCAATGGATTATATAATCTAGGAAATTTTATTAAAGTCAATGGATTATACTTATTAATAAAGAAGCATATATATACTTCTTTAATAGTTTGCAAACCTATGCTTTTATTTTATATATATATATATATATATATATATATATATATATATATATATATATATATATATATATATATATATATATATATATATATATATATATATATATATATATATATATATATATATATCCTTATAGTGTAGTCGAAAGAGGCTTTTATGGTAAAAAAAAAGTCTCTTTCGACTACAATTTTTTTACCTTGTCTTTTAAGCTGCATTTTATTGTCGTCAAAATTTCAAAACAATTAAATTAATGCGGAAGTACATTAAATTTTATTGTTTTTTAAAAAAACCGCAATAATAAAGACTAAAAAGTTTTTTTTAATTAGTGGTGTTTTTGTTTTTGTTTTATTAAAAAACATTTTTAAAACATGCGTTAGTGTTGTTACATTGACTATCTTATAGCCTGCTGCTATAAGGGAGTGTTGCTACATCGACTATCTTATAGCCTGACTCGCAACAGAGTGCTGCTACATCGACTGACAAATAGCCTGACTCGCAAGGGAGTGCTGCTACATCGACTGACAAATAGCCTGACTCGCTGCTACATTGACTGAGGGTTTGGTTTGGGCAGGCAGTCTATCATTTATAAAAAAAAAAATTTTTTTTGAAGTTTTTTTAACATTTTCTGGTCAGGCTTATTAATGCGCTCTTTAAAACAACAGTTTATGGGGAAAACTTTGTGACTACACTACATACATGTATATATATATATATATATATATATATATATATATATATATATATATATATTCTTTCAAAAAATTGTGATTCAAAACCAAATCTCCTTAAATATTAGGAATATATCGCCTTAAATCTCTTTAAATCTTTACTTTTAGCCTCTGTTTTGATAGTGGGAACCCTTATTATACTTGGACATAATACTGTAACATCAGTATTATGGCAAAGCGTAAGGGCTGATCCTTATGCTGACTTTCAAGTTTTACTCTATTGAGCCTATTACATTCTATGTGCATTAGTTCTGCCTCTGTTGAACAGAAGTTTCATCTGGATTGATGTAGATGCTATTTTGAGCATTGTTAAGTCTTAGTTTATGGGCAACTTTGAGAATCCTATTTCTTTCTTCTATGTTGTTAAAAACTACTTTTTCTTTCTCTTTCCTGGATGTTACATGCATTTACATCAGGTAATTCCAATCGAGCATTTGATCTCGTTTCTTTGCCTATTCCAGAAAAAAACTGAGGCCAAGCTGGAGTTTGTTGGATTGCTGTTGCTGCTGTTAGGTTCTAAAGTTAGTGATAGAATATTGCTTACATCCTTGGACCGCTGTTCCTCTAGTGCTGGTATTTATACTTTTTTGAATAATTTTCTCCTTTTTAAGAAACTTTATTTGTTCATGAAAAAGTTTTTGTTTTTAAGAATTTTATTTTTCATAGCTGTTTTAAATGCAAGAAACTCATATAGAAGTTCTTCATTTTTACTTAAAGCATAAGCAACTGAATTAGCTTTCAGTTGTGTTGCTGATATTTCCAATTCCTGACTTTATGAAGTTTGTAATTTTTTATCAAGCTAATTTTTTTTTAAATTTGTTTAACCATAAAATATGAAAAATTTACAATAATATATTATAAACTCACATAAATAAAGTTAGGTGTCATCCATATAATTGGTACTATTCAATTGAATAACACCTACAATAAAAAAAAAAAATAATACAAAAAAAAGTTATAAATAGAAACATAGAAAGAATTGAAAAGAAAAAAAAAATAGAAAAAAATTAAGAAAAAAAAATAAAAAAAAAATAAAACATTGATAAATACAGATTATATTAAATAAAGATATTATTAATTGTAATAATAACCATGTAATATAAATTATAATAATATTAATAATGTGAATAAAAATACATTACAAATAGTAACTATAATATGATAACTTTACTAAAAATTATAACTAATGATAAAAACTGACAGAAATCATAAAAATAAACATAACATTTGCAAAAATTATCACTATCATTATAAATAATATTAATAAGGCTTCTAAAACAAATATAAATTAATGATAATAGTAATATTAGTGCAAGAGTTAAAAAAAAAGGACAGTATAAAATAAAAGTAATTATAATTAGTTTTATAAATACAGTAAAATAAAATTAATAATAAAATTAATACTTGTTAGATATATACTCAAATAAAAATTTCTTAATTTGGTTTCGTTTGAAAAGAAGAATGTTGGTAATAAAAGGTTACTTATAATCTTTTTTTTTTTTTATATATATAAATGGTATTATTTGGTTCTATTGAGAAATACATTGATGTTTTATAGAGAGCTTGCCATATTTAATAGTGTTAAAAAAGGAAGTGTGCAAGTTGAAATTTTCAGCATTTCGCGTGTGATATTTGTGTGTGTCACTTGTTTTAATTTAAAAAATTATAAAACAAATTTGCTAGTTTATTTTGAAAAAAATCAAACACAGAGACAATTATAAAGATTTATAAGATCTTGAAATTTTAGAATTTTTAATTCAAGAAAAACCTATTTATAGAAAAATATATATAAATATATAAAAAATATATATAAATATATAAAAAATATATAAATATTTTGGATATTAGATTTTAAAGGAGAAAATGTAATAATTCTTATGGAAATGTGTTGTAAACTGTTTATACGGTTTAATAGAAAACTACTTTTTTGACCCCAAATAGTGCAACAATAACTTAAATGTGAGGGAAACAAGGAATAATAAAATGATATTATAAAATGTTGGGGAACATAGTGTGGTATTAGTGACAACATACTATTAGCACGTGAGAGTTTTTTTATTTTTTTGAATTAGTTGTGCCATGATAGGTTTTTGTCAAGAAATACCCTAAGGTATTTAGATTAGTGTTGTCAGCGAAATGATTAACAATCAAATTATTTACGGAGTAAGGCAGATTGTTAGTATATATTAAAAGCAGTAAAGGCCCTAGAACAGAACCCTGTGGGATGCCATACTTAATAACTTTACTTGTGAATTGAAACCTATTAATTGAGACAAACTCGGTACAATTTTTAATATAGAATGAAAATCAATTATTAGCGATACCCCGTATACCATGATACAAATTTTTCAATTAAAATCTTGTGGTCAACAATGCTTTTTGGAGATCAATAAAGATGCCACAAGCAAACCACTATCAATGGAACCACGAATCATTTCAGTAATGCTAATAAGTGCATGGCTAATAGAGTGTTTTAAACAAAATCCAAGCTGGCAGCCGTAGAGACACTTAGAATTGTCAAGAAAGTGGTAGATACGAGAATACATTACTTTTTTAAATTTTTTGCTGATATTTGATAATAAAGATATTTATCTATAGTTATTGCAGTCAAACTTTGAGTCCTTTTTATGGGTTGGTTGAACAGATGCAGTTTTAAAAATGTTAGGGAATATACCAGTAGCGAATGAGAGATTAAATAGTTTAGAAAGTACTGAATGTCATCAGCAAGTAGTTTTAAAATAAAAGTTGGAACGCTGTTTGGACCAAAAGTCTTGCCATCATTTTTTTCAGTAGATTTAATGAAAAGAGAGTCAGGATTTGACGCTTTAGATACTTAGGATGTCAGTATGGGATGAATGAATATTTTTTTGCATGAATGAATTTTATTTTATATACAGATTTTAGTCATAGTTTAAAATTTTTTTTTTTTTTTTTGTTCTTTTTTACTATAATTTAAAAAATGGCATGTGATATGATATAAAGGAATATTAGTTTTATAAATACAGTAGTATAAAAAAGCAGTAATAATAAAAGATAAAATTAATATTCATTAGATATATAATCATATAAAAATTTAGTTTTTATTTGAGTATGTATCTATATACTAGATATGATATTACATGAAGCATTCATTATTTTATTACTATTGTGACATATAGCTAAAATTGTTTAGATGAAACAGTTGTTCTGCAAAAGCCTTATAAAAACAAAGATAATGATTCGTTCATTGATGGATATGTTTAAAGAAAGTGGTCAATTTATGAAAAGAGTCTGCAATAGAATACATAAAGTTTACACTAAAAGCCGATCTGTTGTTTTACTGTACTCTTATGTTGCTGAGTGTTATAAAGTTTTTACATAATTTTTTAACATTACAATTGTTGGTGTTTTACCCAACAGACTTGCTTGTATATATATAAAAAAAAAAATATTGTTTTTTATTATATTTACTATTATAAAAAATTTTCATGTATGTTTTAATAGTTTGTATTTAACTTTATAGTTATATTATAAAAAATCAAAAATCTGATTGGTCATACAATCTAATTTCTTTTTTTAAATAATTTTGAAAAAGGATATTTGTATTTTTAATGGCTTTATTATAAAAATTTTTGATCTAAAGATGAAAAAAAATGCTTAATAACAACATTAATTCAACAACAGATGTCAAAGAAATAACATCCTTGGCAGATCTAGAGTATGTAGGCCACATTTTTTTAAATAACTTTTTACATATTATTGAGTTATATTAAAATTATTTAAAATATTATAATATTACATGGACATGGTCTTTTAGTTGGTTTCATGGAGATATCAGTCGTTCAACAGCAGAAACTATTTTGATCAGTAATGCAAATGAAGGAACCTACTTGTTAAGAATTAATTCTGATAAGCAAAACTATTCCGTCTCTGTGCGGTAAGTAATTGTATCAATAGTATACTGCACACATAGTATAATCTCACAGCTAAGTATTGCATAAAGTGAAAATAAACATAACAGAACTTTAGCACCCAGTAAAAATATTTACAGTGAAAACATATTTGTTTGTAATTTTTTGATAAAATATAAAATTTATAAACATTTATAAGGATAATTTTGCAATTGTTTTTGGTTTTTTACAGCTGTCAGAACTCTGTCAAACATTATGTGATTAATCATGATAAAAAAAAAAACATCTTTGTATTTGGAATAGCTACATTCTATTCTTTGAAAGAACTTTTGGATCATTTTGAATCACATCCGGTGCTTAGCAGTGCAGAAGGTATTTTTTTTTTTTACACTTGTATTAAATACTATACATGTGTGTATACATAACTATTGTGGTAGCAAGTATAAGTATGAAAACATAATAATATATTTTACTAATAATATATAATAACTTTACTTTTTGCTATTTAATGAAAATATGAGCTTTACTTTACAAGTCTGCCAGATAGATGTTTCATTAAATGTTGGAAATACAAACAGCAACAGCTTAAATTAGGTTAACATGTATTGTCAACTATTAAACTAAAGAATCAACTTTTTTTTAATAGTTAATTTTAATTCCTTAAAATTGATTTAAAACAAAAATAAAAACATTCATACATGCACATTTTTTATATTACAGAATTGAGAAAATTGGTTGAAAATAAGTCTTTATTTTGTAGACAGTTTTAACAGCTAGTGTTAATTATGCTTGTAATTCTGCACACTTTTTTAAAAATGGTTCTTGGTTTTGTTTGTAAGTTTGTAAGCATACTGTTTAGGTTATTTAAAAAAAAAAATCAGAAAAAAATTTGTAATGTAAGACAATGTTAAATCAAAAGAAAAATGTAAAGCATATAAAGCATAAGTGGCGATGACGTTTGTCTGACGGGATAAACTAGTTATAAATGCTGATCCTCATCGAAACGCCAGTAATAATAGACGCGACTCAGAGGAGATGTTTATTACTTAATCACTACACTAATTATGTTTACACATTAGCATTAATGTTTTTTTTCCATTATTAGTCCTTTCATTGTTGTTAGCATATTTTTAATTTGTTGAATGGTTTTTTGTTTTACAAATTTTTGACTGGTTATGTATTTCTTGTATATTTTAGTTCATATTGGTATTTATAAAACATTTTTTTTTTTTTATTTTTTTTTTTTTATATATATATATATATATATTTTATTTTATTATTATTTATTTTTAATTTTTTTTAATTTTTTTTATTTTTATTATTGTTGAGTACTGTTTTATTGTATAGCCTGTCTTATTTATTTTTAAATATTCCTCTATTAATCTTTATTTTTGTCTTGACAACTGTCAAAATATGCTTTGTCTAATAAATAATTCTCCTTTATTCTAATGTACTTCATTTCTTCCCTCGGGCGTTCACTGCTCGTGTGTGACCATTCGGCGAATTTTATATGCCAAAGTTTTTAAATTATATACAGATTTTAGTCATAGTTTAAAAATATTTTTTTTTTTGTTCTTTTTTACTATAATTTAAAAAATGGCATGTGATATGATATAAAGGAATATTAGTTTTATAAATACAGTAGTATAAAAAAGCAGTAATAATAAAAGATAAAATTAATATTCATTAGATATATAATCATATAAAAATTTAGTTTTTATTTGAGTATATATCTATATACTAGATATGATATTACATGAAGCATTCATTATTTTATTACTTTTGTGACATATAGTTAAAATTGTTTAGATGAAACAGTTGTTCTGCAAAAGCCTTATAAAAACAAAGATAATGAGCTGCATAGTTACACGCCTGTATCTCGACATGGAGAAGCTGGTAAAGACTTTTGTTCACCGCAAAACGAGCCAATAGACATATGCGTAAGTATAAATTTTTAATTCAATACTTTTCAAAACTTCTCTTTATATTCCAATAATAGGTGATTGAAAATTATATAACTTAAAAGTCTTACATCCTAATATTTTACTCTACAGGAACTCTTTGTGGAACAATGTGTAGGATAATTTTTCAAATCTATTTCGTTTCACCTTATTTACATTTTTAAACTGCATTTTTAAAATACAGTTTTTGAGGTTGTTAAATCATTTCTTTTTAAATGCTTTATTAAAGTCATCCTCAAAGGCCAACTATCTTCTATATTTCCAGTAAATTCTGCAGTACCTCAAGGTTTTATCATTGCTCCTGTTTTGTTTTTTATTAACATTAATAATCTTTCTGACAACTTTATACTCCTGTCTTAACATAAAGTTTTCTTTTTTCAATTGCTTTAAACAGACAGCCTATCTTGAATCTGATCTCACTTCTGCTTGTAGTGGCTTGTGAATTTTTACTCCAAGACAACTCAGTTATTTACTGTAAACAACTATCACAATACTGTTGACGTTTGTATATTAATAAATGGTAACCCTCTCACTTAAGGTCCTCTTCTTAAGGTCTTTTTGGACTATTTTTTTTGGATTACTGACCTCTCATGGAAACCATATATACAATTGATTACTAAATTAGCATCTGCTAAGGTTGCTAATTTAGTAATCAATTTAGTTAATCTGCTAATCTCTATATTGTGCTCGTCATTTTCTCTCTCCTGATTATATTCTCTACCTCTACAAATATCTTATTTATCCCTGTATTAAATACTGCTGTCATATTTGGGCGGTTCTTCTAATGATGCTCTTTTTCTTTCAGACAAAGTATAAAAACGCATCATAAACGTAGTAAGACTTTATCTGCCAAGCTTGAGCCTCACCCATTGTAATAAAGTTGCATCTTCTCTTTTCTACAAATACTGGTTCATGGTTGCTGGTTCAAAGTAGCTATCGTCTCTAGCTCCATCAACCAAAGTTTGTTCTCACTTGACTTGTCATGCAGTAAAGTCACAATTATAAGTCCCTGCATGCTCTAAAAACTTTTATTCATCTTGTTTTTTTCCCCACACTTCAACCCTCTAGAACTTTCTCCTGTCTTCATGTTTTCCTGACTCATACAGCCTACAAGTCTTCTGTCAACCTTTTCCTTGCTCTTTAACTCTATTCCTTGTTTTCTAGTAACTCCCAACTTAATAATGGTTGCTTGCAGCTTTGTTGAGAGTGAATTAGAAATGATTAGAAGTGAAAGAAAAAATCTCAAACCTAATTTGGATTGGAATTCTTTGTTTAACAATGCATTAGTGGTGCAGTCTTCTGTGGTCATGATTTGAACCCAACCAACACATATTCATTATTAGCACGTACACACTGCATTTATTTTCTAACATCAAAATTAGTTTTGAAAAATAAAGATTTGCTAAATCAATATGTGCCTAAAAACAATATCTTTTTAAGTTATTTTTACTTATGAATTACTAAATATTTTTCTAAATAACCAAAAAAAAGTTTTTCGTAATTATATAATAAAAATTTTTATGATATTTAGTTTATAATCCTACAAACTAATTTTTGTTACATGTACTAAAAGAAATTGTTCAATTCATAAAGTTAACACTTTCTTATGTCAGTATATAAAGGAGCAATTTTTTGCAGCTGTCTCAATTTCTCTATAGCTATAGCTCGAACGGACAAGAAAATAACAAGTGTCTCTAGAATGATTTTTGTAATGAACTATTGTGGATTTATGTCTACATTATACTTATATATTCTGCTCACTTGTAGTCATACTCTGACTCAGTCATAGTCAGTTATACTCAGATCAGTTATACTCGAAAACACTTGGGTCAGTTATACTCAAAACCACTCAAATTAGTTATACTCAAATTCACTCAGATTAATTATACTTAAAGTCACTCAGGTCAGTTGTACTCAAAGACACTCAGATCAGTTATACTTAAAGTCACTCAGGTCAGTTATACTCAAAATCACTCAAGTCAGTTATACTTAAAATCACTTTTTATATTAATGCATAAGAAGTCTGTTTTATTAATTTTAAGGTTATTATGTTGAATAATGTTAATTGAGTTTTAAATAAAATTGCTCACACCACCACCAACACCATCTACTCACACAACCGCCAACAACTCGCTACACAACTTTATATTTGATTTTTTATTGAAATATTTGGTGAACTGATGCTTAATGTTAATTCAAATTTTTTTGTTTTTAATAATTTAAAAAATTGTTTTCAAGCCAGGTTTCTGTGAGACAAACTATTATGAAGTTAAGATTAATTGCATCCAATAGACATATAAAGTTTTCAAAATTTGTGCTCATATTTTGAATATTAATATGCAAAATTGAAAATCTATTCTTATTCTCACAAAGATATTGATATTGTTCCATATATAAATATTCTTAGAAAGATATTGAGTAGTTCCATATATTGAATAGTGCAAAAGAAGTAAAAATACATTTTAATGTTTTTTTTTTCTTTCTTTGATTGTACACCTTTTTTTAGTGCACTACACACTCTACAGACTCACTCACTACACACTCTACAGACTCACTCACTACACACTCTACAGACTCACTCACTACACACTCTATAGACTCACTCACTACACACTCTTGTTTTTTATTCTGCTTTTTGCTTTTAATATTTTTTAACTACTGTATCTCAAATTTACTTTTTAAACTTTTTTTACTTTTCTATTTTTTAACTACAACATCTCCAACTAATTTGCTGCATCATTAACATGGCTCAACATTTTTGCTCATCATTAACATGGCTCAACAAAGGTCACTTTTCATTTTCTATACCATCAAGGTGTTGCAACAAAGGTTGTCAATCATTTTTTCCATCAATAACACATTGCAATTAAGTTCATAAATTATTTGCTGCATTATTATGTCGCAACAAAAGTTATTGTTCATTTGCTGTCTTATTAACAATTCACAAAGATCAATAATTTGCATCATCCATGTGATGATCATTTTTATTATAAAATTATTTATTTCAAGTTTACTATATATTTTCTTAAATTACTTATTTCAAGTTTACTATATATTTTCTTAAATTATTTATTTCAAGTTTACTATATATTTTCTTAAATTGTTTACTTAATTCTCTGTCAATTTGTTGTTTTTTAATGGAGATCTTTATTATGATAAAGATGTGTAAATAAATATTGAGCTTAAATTTGTTATATAGATAAATTATTATTGTTATCTAGATAATTATAAATTATATGTTTTTAATTATAAATTATAATTGCTATCTAGATAATTATAAATGTGTAAATAACTATTGATCTTAAAATAAAGAATTTTTATATATATATATATATATATATATATATATATATATATATATATATATATATATATATATATATATATATATATATATTGGATAAATATTGATTCTTTATAAAATTTAATTTTTATTACATTGAACGTAAATTAAAAACAAAGTTTAATTTTGACTGAAATAAAAAATAATAAAAACAAATAAATAATGCTAGGTAAAAATTTGTTTTGCAACATATATTTATGTAGCTTGAGTTTAAAGATTCCAGTGATTTGTTGGTATCTATGGTATTTTTTTGTTTAGTGTGTTTAGCTTTCACCCAATTTGTAAGTAGACAAAAGCATAACAAGATCTTACCAAATGACCAGACTAAACAAACTGATGCACTATACCATCACACCTGTTAACATAACAGTCCTATAAAGTCACTGGGTCAAATATTTGTTCATTGTTATATATACATTTTTTCAATATCTTCATTTCCGAAAAGCAACCACAATTAGAGTTGGAAGTTTATAAAGCAAGATAGCTATTAAAGTTCGAATTAAAAAATTGCAAAAGTAAAAGATCTAAATTTAGATAATTTAAAAAACTCCACATTATGTCAGTTTATTTGTTAATTCCACTCCACAGATACTCTATTGTTTTATATTGATTTATTAAGTTTAAATCTATAAAGAGATGCATATAATATAACTCATCAAGTTTAACTCCAAATAATTCAATATTCAGAAATCTTTACATGTTTTAAATCTAAAAACTATTTTAAGTTTTTTAAAAGTAATAAAACCAAAAACACAAGTAGTTTGATAATTACATTTTTTGTGTAATTTTTTAGGTAGCTTCAAAGGAAGGCTATCTTACAAAGCGTGGAGAAATACATAAAGTATTTTCTTTTTAAATAATTTCAAAATATATAGAAATTTTTAGATATAAGAAATGCGTTTACAAGTTTAGAAGTTTTTTTATAACTTTAGAACTGGAAAGAGCGATGGTTTGTGGTACAGAAAAACACACTTCAATACTTTCATACAAAAACAGTACGTTTGAGATGTTTTTATATAATTAAATTTTTGGCAGCGGTTAAAAAAGGGCTTTTGCCAAATTTTTAAAATATTTTATAGAAATTTGAAAATAAACATAAAAATTTTGTTTTTTGTTATTTTAATTGCTAACAACGACATTAAAAATATTTTTTTAAATTTTTTATTTAAGGCAAAGAAACCAATAAAAACGTTGGATTTTTCTAAAGCTACAGAAACTGGAGAGGATACTTGTGATAATAAAATGAACTGTTTTAGGTTTTGCTTTTAGCAATCTTTATAGCAGTATTTATAAAGGCATAGATATGCGCACTAATTTATGTCCAAAATTCTGATAATTATGCGCTATTTCTTAAATATTCTTTGAATCTTGTTTTTGTTTTTTAATAGAACATTATATTTTTATTAGGCTTGTGTTCCCTAATAGAACATATTATTTTGTTGGAAAATCTCCAGCTCAAGTTAAAGAATGGGTTGAATTATTTCAATGGAAAATTGTAATTTTTATTAGTTTTAAATGTGGAAAAATATTTAATTTGTCAAAAAATATTTTATTTTCATGCACTCATTTATTTACACATTGTTTTGTTTTCACTGGTCAAACCAGTATACACCTTTTATATAAACTATTTTGATACGTTGTTGTTGTTCAATTTTTATGAGTTCTTATTTAATTCATGATTGTTTTAATTTCAGAATTACTACCAAAAATTGCAACAAGAAACTCACTAAAAGCTGCACCAGTTGACCTGGTAAATATTCTATGTGAAGGTTTATAAATTTAAGTTATTTGAAGATGGTTTTTATAGTTTTATATTTTTTTTGACTTTATAAAGGTTTATTTTATATATTTTTAGATGTTTTAATATTTATTTTTTTCTATTGTAATTATTTTTAGAAAAATATTGAAATTTATTGTATTTTCTTTAAAAAAAAATTTATGTGCTTCTTATTTTTCTCATTGAGTTCTTATTTTGATTTTGACAAAAAAAAATTAAGTTATGTTCGAAACTTGAAAACATGTTGAAACACATAAAACATTTATTTTCTCTGTTTAAAGGAAATTATTTATCATATAATGATAATAAAAACAGTACACAAGTTCTGAGTTCAATTATTTAAGTTCAAAAATTTAAATGTCAGATGCTTTTTTATTTTTTTATTAAGGTAACCTTTTTGTTATTTTAATATTAAAATATTTTTCAAGATTTTTCAATTTTTCAATTTAATACTTTACATATTGTTATATATTTTAAATTTGTTTTTTGAACATATTTTTTTTAATAGTATTTATTTTTAGTCAATTCAAAAATAATAGAGTTTTTATTTTTGGAATGTAATATTTTCAAAAATAAAGATATATAAATTCAGGAAAAATATTAACTAAGTATACAAAAAAGTCATTATTAAAACTTTTAATTTGGGTGGTTCAATAGATAAAGTTAAGAATGATCAGTTTTATAGATTCTGAGTTCAAAAGTTCACCTGCATCTGGTGAAGATGCAGGTTAATTTTTTGAACTCAGAATCTGATCTTAGAACCTATACACTGTCTGAAAGCTATACACTGTCTGGAAGCTATACATTGTCTTGAAGGTAAAAATTTTTTTAAAAAATAATAAAATTGATTTGATGAATACTGTTGTTATATGGTGGAAAAATATTTTTTTTTTACAGATGTTTGAGTTTCATTACATATTTCAGTCCACGTAATCTACAAAGTATTCAGGATAATACATATACTTTTTGAGAAAGATTTTAAGATTTATATAGTAATATACATGAATATCCTACAGTGTTTCATAGGAAGGCGTGTGATTACATGCCATTATATGACTACGCATATAATATTTTATTTTTACAATTTGACCACAGCTTTTTTTTTTTTTTTTAATCGTAGTAAAAATGTGCTGAAAAACTAAGAAAAAACTTTAGAGAAAATAAAAGCAAACTAAACTAAAAAAATCTGAACAAAAGAAAAAGCAAAATAAAAAAGTAAACATCATAAACTAAAACTCTTAATTACATTACATTTGGAATAAAAAACTTTGAAACTCTGTTATTTTCTAAAGTTTTTATATTATGCAAAACGCTTTTGAATCAAGTAACAAATCACTTTGTTTATTATTTATTTCAATTCGATTGTTTTCCATAAACACATTTTATTTAAATTATCTATGGTTGTGATTTTATTGCTACAATAATTTCTTTTTTATAGTTATCAAAAAAAAATCTTTCTATATATATATATATTTTTTTTTACAATCAATTTAAATTGTTTGAAACTATTTTTATAACTTATTTTATAAACAACCACAACTTTAACTCTAAACGATTTTTTTTAACTTGAGTTAAAAATCTTTTTAAAGTTTTTATAAAAAAAAAGTAATGGTTTTACAAGCATTAAAATAACTATCAGATTATAATCCCTATAAAAATGAGTTTTGAAAAATACTTTAAAAAACTAAAACAATAAAATTATGTCATAAATATTATTCATTTTATAATATTTTGTTGCTGTTTTTTTTAGAATTAGAATAATGAATAAAATAGAAGAAAAGACTTATTTCAAAGAAGGTTAAACAAAGACAGTTGCCCTCATTTTGACTCTGGGCTAATGTAAGGGATAGATAATACCCAGACCAAATGCAAATTGTGCCATATAATGATTTAACTTTCAAACATGGGTATTCAAGCACTAAAAAATCATGAGAAAGGAAAAAAGCATATTTCAGTGGCAAGCAATTTCTCTTGTTTTTTTAAATCATTTGCTGCTAAAAGTAATAGTTTACCTAATTCAGTGGAAGAGTCTAATTTAAAGATAGTTTCTCAACAGGACGCATTATGAAGCAACAATCTTTAGAACTCATTTTATCAAGTTCTAATAAAATCTGTGTAGAAAAGATGCAACTTCCCACCACGTCTACTTCTTTCTCTGCGCAGTGGCCTTGTTCATCAAGGTTAGTGTTGAGATAAGGTTATAACCACAATTAAGTAGCCTCCTCGTCTGTAGTGATCTTCCTGGCCTCGGGTAGGTAAATTAACATTAAAATAAATAAATAAATAATTTGTTTCTAGTTATGTGTCCTGGCAGTTAATCTTTTCAAATGGGACCAAATAAAGTTGGATATATCATCACTCATAGTCTTGGGCCTCATTTCAAAGCTTTACTTAAACAAAAACTGAATTTGTCTCCTTGGCTTGTTGTGTCCTTCATTGAATTCCTCAACAAGAAAACTCAAACTTGTCAAATGGATTTACACATTTGATATTGGAATAAATTAAAAATGCAAGTTGAAGTGAGGTATTGAGATTCCTTGTTTATGGGACATAATACCAGTCTTGATTTGCTGAACTATTCTAATGAAATGATAAGCCATCTTAATATCACCAAGGTTATTCAGGTCTCTATGGATTTGGGGTGTACCGAATTAGAAATTTTGAATTCCAGCCGGAACTGGATTTGCTTATCGGTTAAAAAAATTCTGTCCAAAATGAAATTTATATTTGTGTAATTTTTTACCTTCAAGATTGAAAGTGAAATCCTGCACCTCAGCATTGTGACTACATAATATATATTTATAACCTTGTTTTATAGGTTTTATAGGATATATATATACATATATATATATATATATATATATATATATATATATATATATATATATATATATATATATATATATATATATATAGTATGCGGTAGTGGTGTAGTGGTTGAGCGCTTGCTTCATAAGCGAGAGGTTCCAAGTTCGATCTCCACCACGTCCCTGGTAGTATGGCGCTCAACTTGTTTCTCTGGGCAGCGGCCTTGTTTGTCAAGGTTCGTGTTTTGGAGTTATAGAGTTGAGAGAGGGTTATAACCACAAATAAGTAGCCTCCTTGACTGTAGTGGCCTTCTCGGCCTTGAGGAGGTGAATTAACAAAAAATATATATATATATTATATATATATATATATATATATATATATATATATATATATATATATATATATATATATATATATATATATATACATACATATATATATATATATATATATATATATATATATATATATATATATATATATATATATATATATATATATATACATACATATATATATATATATATATATATATATATATATATATATATATATATATATATATATATATATATATATATATATATATATTAGGGTGTCCCAAAAAACAACATTTTTAAATATAATCTAATAAAAATAAACCCGTTAAATATTCGAGGCTCTTGAGGGGTCCCTCAAGGCCCTCGAATATACAATGGGTCCTTATTAATTTCAAAAAAAAATTTTTTTAATCAAAAAGGAAAACAGTATATCATTGGCCAGCAAGGCAAATGCTTTGAAAAAGAATTTAATTTAAGAATATTTTTATATTACAATTTTAATCACGTTTAACCAGGAAATTTTTTGCACAATAAACCTTCTAAACTTTTAGTTTTTATATTTGTTTGTTTTTGTGTACTCGATTTTAACTCATTGATTCCTAGTCAGTTTTTGTTTCTAAGCCCTGTTTTAGCTTGATTAAACAACATCTGCTTAAACTTCTGGATTTTCAGTTGATGATGTTTTTAATTAAAAATACTAAATCATGCATAACAAAAAATAGTTTAGGAACATTAAAAAAAACAAATTTTTTTAATGTTCCTAAACTATATTTTGCTATACTATTCTATTTTTATCTGAAGATATTGTTGGATTAGAATTTGGAAAAACCCACTATTAATAAACAGTAGGTTTTTCCCACTGTTTATTAACAGTGTGAAAAACCCACTGCTAATAAACAAATGAACAATGTAAAGATGACACTTTCAATCTAGTTCCTTTTAACATTACTGGTTCTTTCCTCATTTTTAAAACATTTTTTAATTGGGTTTTTGTTGCATTTTTTATTATAAGGTCTCTATTAGTTCAAAATAATTTTATAAATTTGATTTAAGCATTTTAAGTTTATTTTAACTGTATATTTTAACATGTATTTTATAAGTTAAATGATTTTTGAAAAATTAACAAGTTTGTCTTATTAGAATACTTACACATATGGTGAATAGAAACTTTGAAAATGTATATGAAATTACCTATAAAAATTTTTATGGAGCAGTTTAATTCTGTTTTTAACTACATAGGAACTAAGTTAGTATAATAAAAATATTGAAAAAAGTTTGTTGATAAGTTAACTTGATAACATCATTATATTTATTTGCAATATATTTAGTTGTTATGTTATATATAAATTAGTTTGTAATCTTTTTTAAATATTAGTATGTTAATTTTCTAATATTAGAAATTTATATGAGAATCTTTTTTTGTACAAAATTAGAACACTTTAAACTTATGTTTACTGCAGGATCTTGAACAAAATGGTTCCAATGATAAATTTGATTCTAGTGATTCATTAATGGATATGATTAAAGAATGTGATCAATTTATGAAAAGTGTCTGCAAAACAATACATTAAGTTTACACTGCAAGTCGATCTGTTGTTTTACTGTGTTCTTAAGTTGCTGAGTCTACTAAAGTCATTACAAATTTTTTAACAAAAAAATAGTCGGAGATTTAATCAACAGATTTGCATATATTTGATATGATATATTTCTGATAATACATTTTCAAGTTTATTTTAATATTTTATATTTAACTTTATATTTATACTATAAAAAGTAAAAAATGAGGATGATTACGCAATTTAAAAAAACAGTTAGTTGTTTTTTATTATAATAATTCAAAAATAATATTTATATTTAATTTTAAATCCGAAGATTCAAAAAAAAGAAATGCTTAATAACAACATTCACTCAACAACAGATGTCAAAGAAATAACATCCTTGGCAGATCTAGAGTATGTAGGCCACTTTTTTTAAATAGCTTTTCACATATTATGCAATTGTATTAAAAATATTTAAAATATTATAATATTATGTCAACATGTTCTTTTAGTTGGTTTCATGGAGATATCAGTCGTAAAACAGCAGAAACTATTTTAACCAATAATGCAACAGAAGGAACCTACTTGTTAAGAATTAATTCCGATAAGCAAAACTATTCTGTCTCTGTGCGGTAAGTCACTGTATCAATAGTATACTGTACATATAGTATAATCTCACAGCTAAGTATTAGGGTCATTATATGCCAAATGGGCCAAAATTTTAGGATTTCAACATGGATTTTAATAAAACTTAGTGGGTTTGTTAATATCAATGAGGAAAGCAATTCCTGAAAATTTCAGCATAAAATCTTTTGTAGTTCATCAGATATGGTCATTTGAAATTTCTGATTTTAAAATAAAAACTTCGGTATCAAAAACATGTTTTGTTCATACTTTGAAGTTCTATTTCAAAAACAAAATTTCAGAAAACCTTCTAGTTTTTTTCATTGTATACAAGTCTAGATTTACTTTAATAAAATTTTGACATTGAATTCTCAAATGTAACATTTTTTCCATAATAGCTACCTAAAAATGCTAAAAAATTGTTTGCAAATATACAAAGTTGATGAGTCAATATACAAAATCTGCAATTTAAGTAGTGAAAAGACATATTTTTTAGTTTCTATATATGGTGGGCTTCCAAATTTTTAAATATTTACTGATAAGATGAAAACCAGTAAAAAATTATAGACTTTTAAAAATGGCTGAAGCTAAAACTTAGGAAAGCGTGCCTCCACTTCAAACCACTGGATTCCAAGGATCAACGCTAGCTTTAATAATACTTTTTTTTCTTCTAATTTAATAGACTTTATTACAGTGATTTCAAAAAAAAAAATAGTGGATCAACTCATGGGGAAGTTAAAAAATCAGAACAATGAAAATTGCCCAAAATGCATTAAAAACAATAAAAGTAAAGTTACTGTTGTACTTTAGTTTGTATTATATATTCTAATACAAAATATGTATGTATTTAAAAGTATTTCATAATAAGTACTAGAAATAAATCTTTGATTAGGCTTGAATTAAACTCAGTTTTTAAATAGCCCTAGCTCTTACCTGCCCCTTCCCCCTCTCCCAACCATTTACTTTTTAACATTTACATTTTTGCGCAGAACTTAGAAAAAATTTGTAATTGGACACATCTCATTATCGGTTTGTCTGATGTATGATGTGCCTTTATGCCTAAACACACAGCTAAACATACACATATAAAAACTGTGAAATTTAGTTTAAAATGCCAGACAGTAAAAAGACTATATATAAAACTTATAAGTAGCCTATTAGGTTAAAATGAAAAAAAAGACTTTTTAGTTTAATTTACCTAATATTTAATACCATGACTATAAATTTTGTAATATTTTTCCAAAAAACTCCTTATTCCACCCCTCCCCATTAATTTGACTTTTATTTGATTATCATGTTCAAATTTAAATTACAATTTATACCAAGTTAATATAATAACTTATATAAATTATTATATTAACCATATGATGCATTTTAGAAACATTTACATTAGTATACATATTATCAAATGACACTCTTCTCATCTGTAAAGTAGTTAATGATTGTAGTATAAAACAATGGTGGTTTCTTGTTCTTGGAATTGTTGAACAAGTAGCATAACCTTCTTATAATTTAAACTTTATGCAATGTAATACAATTGCATCATTTAAAATGTATTGAAAATGTATTCCTTTAATATTTTGTCTACACCAATCATATATTTTTTCAGGTGAATTGTAGGATCTGTTAGTGATTGTAAACTGGCTCTAGCTACAAGTCTTTTGACAGAGCCCCCAATGCATTCACAAGCACTCTTTTCATGTGATGTGGCAAAAAAATGCCATTCTGCAGATACTTTATGATCTAGTTCATGGTGATATAAGTTAGATATGGTTTTATAATTTTTATATTGTGAACCAGCACCACCACTTAAATAAATGCAGTGGTTAAGTAAGGCATCAACTCTTTTAAATGTTTTGTTACTTCATAAATGAAACAATGAACTGAGTTTGTATTGTGTTGCAAATAATCTGAAACAATACACTTTTACATTTTATCATATTTTCTTCCATATAGTAAATAACAAAAGGATGCAATGTTGCTTGAGTGTTGTTCCAATGGAAACCTTGTACTGCATCTTGAATTAAAAAACTGTAATTTTCAAGTTTAATAATACTAAAATATGGTTACTTGGTAATGTTATTTTTAGATGCTGCAAATATGCTGCTTGATTTTTGGCTATATAATGATGGTCTCTTAATCGGTCTATTTGTTGACAAGCATTTTCAATAAAATTATCCACTGGTTTTATTGAAAATTATCCACTGGTTTTATTTTTTTTACCACTGATTAACAGTGATATCTTCCATGCTGTGTCTATCAAACAAAGCAGTAAGATACTCTTTTAGTGTGTTAGTATCTGGGCAGTTATTGCAATTGTGCAACATGCAGTCTCAATTTGTTAAGTCACATGCAACTAATGTTAAGAGATCTTTAGATTCTAAAATATCTGGTATTTTTAATGCTAAAAGTTTTGCATTTTAGTGGTACTCACAAACACATACTGAATGGAGACCTGAAGCACCTCCAATAGGAATACACTACTTTGGTCTAAGTTCACAAAACTTAGAAAACCCAATCTTGACGTCAATGGAAATTTTAATGAATTCAAAATAAAGTTCTTTTATATTAACTAATAGAAGTCTTTTTTGAAAATGTTGTCTTTTACCATTAACTTGGATTGAGACACACTGTTTCATACCTGGACACATTCGAGAGTATTCATCTGATTAGTAAAATTCATGAACTACTTTATCAGTAATAGATCTTGCTTCTTTTTTAGATGGTTCTGCCATTATGTCATACATTTGTTTCAGATACCTTGCAGCTTTTACATTCTTAGGGAAGCAGAAAAATAGATTTGTGTATAATTAATGCTCCAACTCTCAGCAACCAAAGTCAGTAATTTAAGTTTTTCTTATTTCAAAGAAACATCAAACTTTGCTTTAATTATTCCATTGATGAGTTGTTTACTTGTTTACTTTTGCAGCACATCTCTTTTTTTTTTTGGTTCATCTTTAATTAAATCTGGAGAAACTCCTAAAAGAGTTACTATTTTTTCTCTGTTTGCAGTATGGATTTTGTTCATTTTTCTTTTTGCATAGCTGACCTTGTCTTTATGAGCTACTAGTTTTAAAGGGGAACAACCAAGGCTATTAATGCTTGAATAAAAGTTTTCTTTTAAAATGTTTTATTAAAATCATTATCTTTATGTTGACATAAATTGTTTCTGTAATCTTTTTTGTTATTTTTTAAATACAACATTTTTCAACATTCTGTACAAAGTTTATGACCAGGTATTAAACTCCAGGTGACCAGGTATCAAACTCCTTCACAACATCCAAACTGATTACTCTGATAGATTCTAAAAACTAACACAATGATAAAAAATTAAATAAGCAATTATCTTTTAAAAAATTAGTTAAATAATAATTTATATGAGTCAATTTTTTTTTTAAATACTTTTTAATTTAACTTTGTGTTTGTTAAATGGATCGCAACAAAAGCTTCCATCATATGAAGTCTCAAATCTATCCAAGTAGACTTTTTCATGGTGATTACAAATAGTTTGAATATGATTTACTTTACGTCGCAAGTGAACAAGTTCTTGATCATTTTTTGTTAATTCCTCAAAACCTTTATTTTTTTTGATTTTGATAAATTTTACTTCATGAAAATTATAATTTAAAGCTTTTCCATTGCAACATTGAGTTAGATCTAGCGATGCACTTGCCATTTATTTTTTATTACTGTCTAAGAAGATTTATTTAAAAAACAAGTTTTGAAACTAAAGTTTCCATAAGTTTTGGCACAAAAAATATATAGGAAATGATAAATTTTGCAAATAAAATAAAGATATAAAATGAACTCTCAATAATTTGCTTGTTTTTTATGTCACAGCTTTTAAATGTGTATGTTGAATTCTTTGTTTATGTATATAGACACTTCATGCATCAGACATATTTTTTTCTAAGTTCTGGGCAATAATGTGCATGTTAAAAAGTATATGGTTGGGGGAAGGGAAAGGAACAGGTAAGAGCTAGGGCTATTTAAAAACTGAGTTTAATTCAAGCCTAATCAAAGGTTTATTTCTAGTACTTATTATGAAATACTTTCTACTTGCTAGCGTTGATCCTTGGAATCCAGTGGTTTGAAGTGGAGGCACGTTTTCCTAAGTTTTAGCTTTAAGCATTTTTAAAAGTCTATAATTTTTTACTGGTTTGCATCTTATTAGTAAATATTTAACTAAAAAATATGTCTTTTCACTACTTAAATTGCAGATTTTGTATATTGACTCATCAAAAATCAACTTTTTATATTTGCAAACAATTTTTTAGCATTTTTAGGTAGCTATTATGGAAAAAATTTTACATTTGAGAATTCAATGTCAACATTTTATTAAAGTAAATCTAGACTTATGTCTACAATGAAAAAAACTAGAAGGTTTTCTGAAATTTTGTTTTTAAAATAGAACTTCAAAGTATGAACAAAACATGTTTTTTATACTGAAGTTTTTATTTTAAAATCAGAAATTTTATGCTGAAATTTTCAGGAATTGCTTTTCTCATTGATATTAACAAACCCTCTAAGTTTCATTAAAATCTTAGGGGTCCATGTTGGACCTTGGTCCAGTTGGCATGTAATGACTCATTACATAAAGTAAAAACACATATACTGAACTTTAGCACCTGGTAAACATTTTTACAGTAAAAATGTATTTTTTTTTGTCAACTTTTGATAAAAATTAAAAAATTTAAAATAAATTTATAAACATTTATAGGGATAATTTTGTAATTACTTTTTGTTTTTTACAGCTGTCAGAACTCTGTCAAACATTATGTCATTACTTACAATAAAGAAAAAAATATATTTTTATTTGGTAAAGCTACATTTGAATCTTTAAAAGAACTTTTGGATCATTTTGAATCACATCCAGTGCTTAGCAGTGGAGAAGGTATTTTTCTTTTTTTTTTCAATTGTATTACATACTATATATGTAAATTCTCTCGCAAAAGTATTTCAAGCTCGTCATTAAGTTATCGGCAGCGATCTTGTATTTTTGGATATGGGTGTTCCACACAATTTTATTAAGTTTTAATTTGTTATACAGAGTTCTTTAGACGATAAATCTATTAAAATTATTATTTAGCAGCACACTGCCTGACAAAATGTTTCAAATTTTTTCGACTTCCTAAATACTTATTTATTATTTGATCGCATCTGATTGTATTTTTTTCCTACCTAGTTCTTAATGATCTTGTTTTTAGGAATAAATTTATCTTTTATCTTTTTTTTTTTTTGTTATTTTCTTCATCTTTAACTTAATACTACAATCAATTTTTTTTGTTGTTACATCAAATTTATTTGAAAGAAATTCATAAGCTTTCATTTTTTTTCATTGTTTCATTTGTTCAATTAAAATATAAATTCATAATGTTTTCGCATCATTAAAACATTAAAACAATGAAATAATGATTTCTTTTTGTTAAAACATATTGTTTTTTTGTTGCTAACGCTAATAGAACTTTTATAACTTTTTTAAAAAAAGTTTTCAAAAACTTAAACTTTTCTTTTTCTTGAATAAATTTATAATTTTAATTAAGTTATAAATAATATAAGTTATAATTTTAATATCAAAAGCTTTTTAAAGCAAACTGTTCCCTTCAAAACACAACGTTTTTAGAAATATTTTTTTTAGTTAAATGAAAAACTTCTATTATTATACATACGGTTTTTAGCAAATGCTTTTGCAAAATTAAATTAACAATGTTTCTCATATTATCATATTTGTATTTATTACACAATTTAATATTATTAATAAACTGATAGAAATAAATAAAATTTTATTTAATTTCGTTAGATGTTTTCTATAAACGTTTTATATAAAGAAATCTCTTTCACAAATCACCATTAATTGTTTGTAGAAATTGTGCTCTAATTTCAGCAGAATGACGTAGTTAACATGAAAAAATGAGTTTTTTAGTTGAAGTATAACATTTTACCTCAGTTAAAAAAAGACAATTAAAGATATATGAATAGAGATTATTTATTTTTAACAATAAGTGAACTTTTATTGTTTAATTAAGTAAGAATCTTTAACAAAAACTTTTTATAAAAAAAATTTAATAAAAAATTAAGTAAACCATTATTAGTTTTCTCCCTCCCAAATTTTTAGGACTAGCGAGATTTTTTACTCTGGTAACTAAATTAGCGAGCGTTTTTTAGCATGTTTCACGTGGCGGGAGCGACTGCTCCTGCTTCATGCCAAGGCCTGCTGATGGCAAACAAACATAAATTTTAAGTAGCACCAGCTCAAATCAAGTTAAAATGAATTGAAATATTCAATTTCAATTTTTTTAAAATTATTTAAAACAAATAAAATCCTTCATACATATACATTTTTTATTTTACAGAATTTAGAAAATTATTTGAAAATTAGTTTTGTTTGTAGACAGCTCTAACAGCTGGTCTTTTGTTTGTAGACAGCTCTAACAGCTGGTCTTTTGTTTGTAGACAGCTCTAACAGCTGGTCTTGATTATGCTTGAAAGTCTACAAAACTTTTCATATTTTTGTTAAATGATCGTGTCTGTGAATTATGAAAAGACGAAAAGAATTAAAATGATAAGTTTAATGAAAAATTCATGACACAAGTTTATTGAAACACTTAAAAGGTGTTAATTGTCATGGTCACTGTGTCTTAAAAAATAACTTTAAACAAGGTGTGTGACCGCATGCGCTTCAAGGAAAGCTTGTATTTATATATATATATAATATATATATATATATATATATGCAAGCTTTCCATGAAAAAAGCCAAGAGCCATTTTTTACCACAAACACGTTTTCTTAGCCATAAACTATATATATAAATATATATATATATATATATATTTATTTTATATATAAATATATATATATTTATTTTATATATAAATATATATATATATATATATATATATATATATATATATTTATATATAAAATAAATATATATATATATTTATTTTATATATAAATATATATATATATATATATATATATATTTATATATATATATATATATATATATGTATATATATATATATATATATATATATATATATATATATATATATATATATATATATATATAGAGAGAGAGAGAGAGAGAGAGAGAGAGAGAGAGAGAGAGAGATTATGGCTAAGAAAACGTGTTTGTGTAAAAAATGGCTCTTGCCTTGTTTGTTATGTTAAAGCTGACAATATTAATATTAGATTATGTCAAAATGCATTAATTTAATTGTGGAAAGTAATTAAACCACTAAAAGGCAAATTAAAAGACTAGAATGTTTTTAAAAACATTCTGAATGTTTTTATTTTTATTTTTTAACTGTAAAACATGGGGAGTGTTGCTACATCGACTATCTTATAGTGCTTCTACATCAACTGACAAATAGCCTGACTCGTAACAGAGTGTTGCTACATCCACTGAGGGTTTGGTTGGGGCAGGCAGTTTATGAAATAATTTTAAAGATCCGAAAGTTTTTTGGGTCTTTAAAATTAAAAAAAACCTAAAACTGACATTTATGGTAAAAACTTAAAGGCGACCATGCAAGGGTATATATATATATATATATATATATATATATATATATATATATATATATATATATATATATATATATATATATATATATATACAGATAACGGTAGCTTAAGTAGCCTGGTAATCAGAGCTGCATGTTATATTTGAGAAATATCAGCATTTCTAATATTTCTGGGTTTAGGCAAGCCCCTGCAGTTATTAATCATCATCACACATACTAAAAACACTCTTTCACTGGCAGTACTTGTAATAGGAATAGCCAACAACTTTCTAGCAATTAATGTGATTGTCAGAAGCTTATGTTCACAGTCATTGTTTTTCCAGAATTGCAATGTATCACACACTGTCACAGGCAGTGTGTGTCAAGTATTTGTTAAACTCATGTCTTGTGTCATTACTGCCAGTCTTAGACAATAGAGAAGCAGCTGTTTCAAAGTCTGCTAGCAAATCATACAATTCAGGCTTTACTCTTATTTGAATGAGGGAGTTGATCTGAATCAATGCATTCACTGCTGTCAATATCAGTACTGTCTGCTGGAGATCGCCCATAAATTATGTCACGCAGATTTTGATATTTTTTAACCCCATTCCCTCGTAACACATCAGTAACATTTATTGACCCCCTTCCCCCTTTATATTTCACAACAATTTTGTCGTCCGTCCCCTAAAAAAAATTGTTATATTTTTTTAGGGAATGGGGGAGAGTGGGGTACAAAATTTAACAAAATACAAAATGGTTTTAAATATAAAGTCTATAATTTTTTGAGCTTCTTTGAGTTAATTAATTAATACTTTTCAGTCTGTCTAATGTTTTTTTTCATCTTAATAGTTCTGTTTTAGTTCGGTCAGATTCTCTTTTAATTAAAAGAAAGTCTTCTCTTGATTTAAAACTAAAAAAAAATGTTGCATCATAAAATCAAGATCCTCCCATCCTCCTTGTAACAAATTGTCACACAATTGCCTAAAATAAATGTGTTAAACCAAATTCTAATGAAGCAGTCGTAAGCGTTGATTTTTCAACTTTAAATGCATTACTTAAAATGAACCACAAAGCACTCATTATGGCCAGACTCTGATTATAATCTTCACTTCAGCTATATATCACTATGTCACTTTCAGTCGCATCAGACCATCAGACCATGCATTTAAAAGTTCCTTTATCTTTAATACTGCAAATAATTAAGGTTAAATTTACCTAAGTAAGTAAACTAAGTGTTTGGGACAGCAATAAGGTTAAGGTTAGGAGAAATTTTCTGCGCTTTATTCCTGCTTTTTATGCATTGATTTTTTCCACATTTTCGCATTTTATCCGAACCTACAATAACATAATGGGATGTAATTTGCTCATTCATAAATATAATTGCAACACTTTCGCTATATTTGACAATACCCATTAGCATGGGAAATGCAAAAAGATCCTTAAGCGCATTAAAAGAATTAAAACACATTTAAAGGGATCCCCTAGTGCCAAAACAAGTTGTGTTCATATCATAGATAAACATAAGAAAATAAGTTAACAATAATAAACTTTAATATAATATCTCATTCAATAACAAATTTATGAATGAGATATTAACAAAAAACTTTTTAAATTTTACCACCATTTTGTTTCTGGCAAAGGAAAGTTCCGGCTCTTTGACTACTTTAATTTTTTAAATGGTTAATGCTTATATTTGATGTCAATGCAAAAAGTTTCTTAAAGTTTAAATTGCAGGAATTGAATCTTATATTTTCGTTTAAACCCTTTGGCGGTTAAACAAAAGTATAAGATTCAATTTTATGTATATCTGAAAAAAATATATTAGATCATTTTAAAAACGATTTTCTTGAATATAAATTATTATTAACATAAGTTAAAAATATATATAAGATCATTTTTAAAATGAATTCCTCAATTTATTCAAAAAATAAAATTTTTTAAATCTTACAAAATTTTACCATTATAGATTATATTGTACTTAGTGATTTATATAAAAAAAACTTACTTATTTTATAAGAAAAATATTTATCTTGTGTATTTTAAAGTTCTCTTTGCTTAATTACTATTTTTATTATGTTAGTTTTTTGTATCGTTAAGTGTTTGAGTTTATTTAACTCAAACACTTAACGATACAAAAAACAAAAACATGTTACAGCAAACGTTTTTTATAACCATTGCAGACTAAATATGAAGGGGAAAACTTAATCTGATTGTGTTAATCTGAACTGAGTTTAAAAAACTCTTGTGGTAAGCAAAAATATTATTGAAACCAGATGTTTTATTAACAGAAAAAACTATGCAGATTTGAGAGCCTAAAATTAGGCTCTGAATCAGAAATATAATGGCAAAATAAGAGTGGAGGCAGCGAAACAAATTACAAAAGCTAAAATTTTGCAGGTGAGTTTGATTTTAATTCTACAAAATTTCTAAAAATTGTAGCTGCAACTTAGTAAGCTTTTATTCTTTTAAGGCCAAAAATATTTTTGTGCTAAAAGAATAAATCACTCAATATAAGTTGAATTATTTGTCCATATATGGAAAACATTGCCAAAATTGAGTTCAAACGTGTTTTATTGTTGTGACTATGAAAGCCCCATGATTGAAGCATCAGTTTTATCCAAAAATCAGGAAAAAAAAAACAAATTTACCAAATGCTTTGAGAGATTCAAAAGTCAGAATCAATTCAATCCAAAAATTAAAACATGTTTCAACACTTTGCATTTTAATGGCCCATAATAGAAGAAAGTTTTGAGAAAATTTTTTGGCCAGAGAATAAGAGTTTTTACATTTAACAACTCTTTAATTTCATGTCTTGTGCGCATAGAAAGCATAGAAAAATTGTTTTTTTGTTTTTGTATTAATACTTATTTTATCTTCTAAATACATTTATTTTACACTGAAAATTTATAAATGTTAAATAGATGCAACTAATATAGCTGTTTTGTAATATTAGCGGGTGGCATAAAAAGGTCAAATAAGTTTGGGGGAAGGATCGCTGAAACAAAAATTATAGTGGCATAAGGCAGCAAATAAAAATAGAATTTGAATGAAAAAAAATGAGATTTTAAGAAATTTGCGGGAGAGGCGGCAATTGCCCCTTCTAAACTGCCCCCACCCCTATTATCTTACAACAGTGATATTAGCTATGTTATATTTTGAAATTCTTACAGGTTAATTATTGTTTTATTATAATAATTATTGTCATAATAAAATATAACAATAACTATAATAGTTATAATGAAACCATAATTAACTATTATCAATTTAAAAAAAACATAGTTTAATCGATTCATTTTCCCAAATCAATGCGTAAGGCGTTTTTAAAAAAAAAAATTTAATTAAAAGCAGATGTTATTTTTAAGGCATTTTTTCAAACTAGTGATCTTTATGAATTTAAAAAAAATAATTATTCAATAATGCTTGTTATCATCTATATTAGCTTATTTCATAAAAAAGTCAATTTTGAATTTTTTGATGTTAAGGCATTTTGAAAAGCAGCTGTAGTATTGAGCAATTTAAATTTTTTTTGAAAAAATGGGGCAAAATGGTATTGCATTGTATGGACTACTTTATTTTGTAGCTGAAATATGATAGCACTTTGTAAGCAGGGGTTGAAATAAGTGTTAGACATTGCTACCTTTTTTTGTACTATTCTTGAAACCTGCTAGAAGAGGGCAACAAACCATTGTTCATTTTTCAATAAAAAATGAACAATGATTGGTTGCCTCCATTAATCAGGTCTCAAAAACAGACTGGGGGGCGCTGATGTCTGTCACAAATAATAAAGCTCTTGGCTACTGATAAGGAATGGTCAACTATGAAAAAATGCAAAACACAGTTAGAGTCTCATACATCAAATCAAAGCCAATTTTTTGCCAAGATTAACAATCTTTTTGACATTGCTCATGCTGATGCTCATGGTGCTTTCACTATTATCAAAATTCCAGAAGATCTGAAGTTTTTTGCAGTACAGTACGGAAAAAAACACACACTGAAACTTTTTAGTCCCTGTGTAATAAGATGTTAAAAGTTCAAAAAGTTCAGAGATCAGGAGGTTATCCACTGGTATTTAGGGTGGTAGCCCTCCTATCAAAGACCAACTCATCATTGTTCAAAAGTTCAGAGATCAGGAGGTAATCCACTGGTGTTTAGGGTGGTAGCCCTCCTATCAAAGACCAACTTATCATTGTTAGAGATATAAATACAAAGAAAAACTAACATGGAAATGGATTTTTTAAAGCAGGAAAATTGGCCAAGTTTAGGACCAGGAAATTATACGGGCTCTAAAGTCTTACATGATTGTTGTGGTCAAATTTCAAAAGTTTTGTTATTTCTTAATACCAAAATACAGACAAATGAGTTAGAGTATTTGAGACACCTTGAGATAGAGTTAGAAAAAAATAAAACACTTGAGAAAAAAATATTAAAAATGGAAAATGACTGTCTGCAGAAAGGGTTAGAAACGCGAATCATTGCCAAAACAATTGTACTCAGATTTTATAACAAGTAAAAATTGGTCTACGTCTTCTTCTAAAACGAAATCCCCAGTTGAACAATTAATTGTTGTAAATGCAGCTATTAATGAGCAAAAAAATAGAGAAAAAAGAAGAAAAAATATTATTGTCTATGGCCTTCCTGCATCTAAAAAAGCTACATTGCAAGAACAACATGAGGAGGATAAAGAACAAATTAGTAAACTATTTCATGAAATAAATGTAGAAATCGTCCCAACATTCCAAAAAAGGCTAAATACGAAACAAACTGGAAAACCGGGACCAGTATTAGTGATTTTAAATGAAGATTCTGAGAGAAATCCAATTTTAGCAAAATCTAAATTATTAAGAGAAAAGCAAGATTACAAGGAGGTTTTTATTTCGCCTGATTTAACTGAAGCAGAGAGAATGGAAAACTATGAGTTTAGAAAGAAGCGTTACAAAATGAATTGTGAAAGAATAGCAGACTCGCCCTTTAGATATGCGATCCGTGGAAATGGAATTGTCAAATTTAAAATACAACTTAACACAACAACATAAAAAATTAGTAAGTTTGTTATCATTTAATGTTTTATATACGAATGCAACATCTTTAGTAAACAAAGTTGAAGAATTTAAAATCTTATGCAGTTTTAAAAATCCTCAAATAATTGCTATTACAGAAACCTGGTTTAATGAGACATCGGAAATTTATTTGGAAGGATATTCTTTGTATAAACAAAATAGGGAGGATGGGCGTAGAGGAGGAGGGGTTGCGCTATATATAGATTAGAACTTAATATATGAGGATAAACAATAAATATGATATGAGGTAAACGAAGGTATATTAAATAGAAGTAAAATTGAAGAAATATGGATCATTATAGTTGCAAATGATAAAAAATATTTAATTGGTTGCGTGTACAGACCAAGCGAACAAGTAGATATGCTTGAAATGAGTCAAATATTCACAGAAGCTTGTAAATTAGTAGAAAAAAATAATTTTGCAGATTTGTGATTTTAATTTTCCAAATGTAAAATGGTCGAATGGATACGTTTATTAATATTATATATGAATGTTTTTTGTACCAACACGTATCAATCCCAACCTTTCAAAATGCACAATATGTTACAAAAAATACCTTGGATCTTATTTTTACAAAAAACAATGAACGAGTCTATCAACTTGAGTCTAATCCAGTTCTAGGAAATATAAATCATGGACATTTGGTTTTAACTTGTAAATTTAACCTTGATGCTATTGCAAATGAAAATTATCTAAAGTATAAATTTGATTACAGTAAATGTGACTATCCACAAATAAGCCTAATTATTGATAAAATTGACTGGAATTATTTATTTGACGGGTTATCAGTTCAATTTATGTATAATCTGTTTATTGAAAAAATTAGTCAATCATGTAATGCTTTTATTCCAATAATTGATGTAAATTCAAGAAAGAAAAGAAAAAATAATCCATGGTTTACTGATGAAGTTAGTCTTTTAGTACGTTCAAAACAAAATTTGCATTATCAATATTTATCATCAAACTGGAAAGATTTGAATAAAGTATATAATATCAATGCGGTAGTGGTGTAGTGGTAGAGCCCTCGCTTCATAAACAAGTGGTTCGATCCCCACCACGTCCCTGGTAGTACCATGCTCAACTCGTTTCTCCGCGCAGTGGCCTTGTTTGTCAAGGTTCGTGTTTCGGAGTTATAGAGTTGAGAGAGGGTTATAACCACAAATAAGTAGCCTCCTCGTCTGTAGTGGCCTTCTCGGCCTTGAGGAGGTGAATTAAATTAAAAAAAAAAAAAAAAGTAATGAAATATAAAAATATTTGCAAAACTGTGAAAATAGAATCGCGTAAAGCAAGATGTAACTATGAAAATGATCTTGTTGAAAAATCAAAAGTAAATCCGAAACTGCTTTATAAATATGTGAACAGTCAAAAAACGATTAAACAAGTAATTAAAGCATTAAGAGATCAAACTGGTTGCGTATCAAATGATCAAAATGAAATTGTCAAAATTTTAAATAAACAATTTCAAGATGTGTTTACCATCGAAAATTCTACAGAAGAGCTTCCACAAATCGAGAATTTAGGGGATATTATTATTGATGCAGTTAATATAGATTATTTTGATGTTTTAAGTAGATTGAAACATGTTGATATCAATAAAACATATGGAGTTGATTCTATACATCCGTTGATTTTGAACAGTTGTGCGGATTCCGTAGCATTGCCATTAACATTAATTTTTATAGAATCTTTTGTTAAAAGTGAACTACCAACTCAATGGAGAGCAGCAAATATTACACCACTATTCAAAAAGGAAGATAAATTAGAAGCTGTAAAATATAGACCAGTGTCATTGACGTCAATTACTTGTAAAATTATGGAAGGTATAGTCAGAGACTTCATACAATCATATTTAATGAAATATAAATTAATATCGAAGTCACAACATGGCTTTGTTAAAGGGAAGTCTTGTACAGCAAACTTATTAGAGGAGTTGGATTATATTTCATTAAATTTATTGATTGGTATTTCGGTAGATGAAGCACTTTTAGATTTTGTTAAAGCATTTGATTCTGTTGCTCACAAAAGACTATTGATTAAACTATCTTCATATGGAATTAGTGGTTTATTATTAAAATGGATTTTTTAAAAAACAGAATCCAAAGCGTTATCCAAGGTGATATTGTGTCTTCATGGCGCAAAGTATGGTGTTCCGCAAGGATCCGTAATTGGGCCCTTATTATTTGTTATTTTTATTAATGATATATCAAATATATTTAAAAATAAGTCAGAATTGTATGCAGATGATACAAAAATTTTTTCATAAGTGAATAAAATAAATGTGGAAAATAGCTTGCAAAAAGATCTGGATAGTGCAAAGGAATGGTCTAAAAAGAGGCTCTTGGATTTTAATTCTAGTAAATGTGTTATAATGCATTATGGTATAAATAATCCGCGATTGAAATATACTTTAAATAGCGTTGAACTGCGAGAGAGATTTAGGTGTATATTTTTTAACAAATTTGAAATGGAAAAAACAAATTATATCAAGTACTTCTAAAGCAAATTCAATGATGGGTATGTTAAAGGTGACATTTTCACGAATTGATGCAAAATTGGTTAAAACATTGTATAAGGTATTTATTAGACCTCTTATTGAGTTTGCAGTACCTGTTTGGTCACCTTATTTTAAAGGAGACATATCACTTTTGGAAAAAGTTCTACACAGGATGACTAGATTAGTTCCATCATTAAGGAAAATTAATTATGAAAAGAGATTGGAAATATTAGATATATCTACATTGAAAACAAGGAGGGAACGTGGGGATTTAATACAAGTGTTTAAATTACTTAACAGATCTGAAGAAATTGATTTAATTAATGAACCGAAGCTTAAAATTGATTCAATTACTCCAGGTCACAATCTTAAATATGAAAGAGAAATTGTGAACTATTTACCTCGGCATCATTATTTATTAATTTACATCATTATTTATTAATTTACATTATTTATTATTGTACAGCCAATTTATGGAACGCTTTACCGGAAACTGTTGTTACTTCAAAAACTGTAAATCAATTTAAGAATAGATTAGATGAGTATAACACCAAATCAATGAAGTTTTAACTAAACATTTTTAATATATATTTGGATTAATGCTGTCAAAGTGTGATAAACCACACTCGCTGGATTCGTCCAGTAACAGTTTAACTACTAACTAACTAACAATCGGAACCTGGTCAAAACAGTATTGGCAGTACAGGAAGAATATAAGGCTAAGCTCATTTAGATGGAAAAATGCTAGATAAGAATAAGTAAAGGACCAACAGTATCAACCAGTGCATTTTTGGAAGAAGAAGACATCAGCGGTGAAGAAGAGCACAGGTATGTAGAATCTGATGAAGCAGTTTTTTATTATGCTAAAAAAACAATGAGAGCAATCACAAAAGTAATAATACCTAAAGCTAGCTGTATTAGATTGCAACAAAATGAGCAACAATAAACCCACTTTCTTCATTGCTATGAGCTATCTATCATCTTTCATATAGGTCCACCTTCACATGGAATCAGGTTCAATGTATTCAGGTGGATGTCAAAAATGATATGTTCACTAAAACTGTGGTTGTTTCAGTTGCAACTTAAGCTTGCTGCATTTGACAAAAAAGGACTTCGCACTCATCATTTATCTGAAAGCCTGGTTTACTGGATCTGTTCTGGCTAAAAAATGTTTTCACCAATTTCAATTAAACTAAATTTAAAAAACCTAAATTGGATTTTGGAATATATGAGCAAAGTGCAACAACTGAATAAAATGCATGCAATAAAATATAGTTAAATGTTGTCTTCCGCCTACTAGAGATACTTAGTTTTTTGATTATTCAGCAGTGGCTTCTTGTTTGTCTTGTCTAGAAGAAAAAAACCTGATTAGATAAAATAACAATTTATACAACTTTAAAAACTTTAAAAATGTTATTTTGATCTAATGTGCTTCTAAGTAAAAACAACCACTAATTGCTTGCTGGTCATTTTTTTGTTTTTCTTGCACTAAATCAACAACTAGATCAGTATGGTACATGATATAATGCCCATTTTCTCAACTGGAAGCATTTTAAAAATCAATTTCAGTCTTATGTAAAGTTTATACAAGGGTTATGATTTTAAGATCTATTTAAACTTAATATTCAAAGTAGTTTTTTGTGATGAACTTTTAATACAAAAGAATATGAAACATTACTCTATAGATTTTCTAAATTGTACAATTATATCAATTATATTGATAAAAAATTCACTAAATGTGAAATGTGTTCTATTGCAAAATAACTCTGTATAACTTATTTTTTATATATTTGTTTTTTTACAACCGCTAAGTCTATAGCAGTTTTCAATAAAAAGGTCTTCTATTTTTTAAATTAAGATTATTTTTTGAACAGAACATCTACATCAAAGGATAGTATGAAAAGTTGAACAAAATAAAAGCATTAAATAAAAAAGTAGCTTGTTTTTGTGATAAAAGGTTTTTTTATACGCAAAAAAGAAAAGCATTTACTGTTTGCTTTCCACATAGACTTGCAGTATGATCATCAAACTTTAAATCTTTATGAATTGTAACTTCAAGAAGTTTAACCTTAAAGGAAGCAAAAAATTTAAAAATTTAAAAAGGCCTTAACATTACCAAATTTTATGAACAGACCATTACAGTTTTTTAAGCCAACTAATAGGAATTGAAATTTATCAAGATTTGCAACCATTTTATTTAAACCATGAAATACCATTTTCTATTTCTAGTTGAACATGAAAAAATATCTATGTGTTGTTGCTGCAAATATAGAGAGAGTTATTGTCGGCAAAGTGCATGCATTGAAGTCTTTAACAAACAAGAACTCATCTGCCATTTAGTATTCCACTCTTGTTGATGGAACTCCTAACTGCTCTTCTATTGAGCAAATTACCTTTATTCTTGGTTTTGTCAATTATGGTTGTTGATAAAAGATGGGTAGTTGCAAAGCATTTTCTTAAGGTTAAAAATCTCAAAAAAAAAATAAGTGCAGATACTGGCAAGGTAATTATGAACATTAATTATGGATGAAGAGTCTTGACAGAGAAAATTGGTATTTCTCTTCATTAAACTTCGCAAACCCAATAGAGTGCATGCATTGATTTTTCAAAGCTGTTAGTTAAGTGTCTTAGGGATATTCTTATATCTATGCAGAAGCTTTATGATCTAAGTGGTGATTTATTGAATGAAGTAAAATCTCTGGAAAAATATCATGCCAGTGTCTCATTTTACTCAAAAAATATTTCCTTAGATGATACAATATAGTTTATAAAGACTTTTATTGAGGATCTCTTCAGACTAGGATCTTTTAGGCTCAAGTTAGTGAATTAAACACATTTGATTGCAAGTTATGGTTTTAATTAGATTTTAATTTAAAAGAAGACAATGAAGAGAAAGACCTTTCATAAAAAAAGTCTAAAAAATAAAGAGAAGTACTTTGAGGGGAATTTATTTAATATTACGATATTAAATACATTCAATTCCTCAGTTTTGAATATGTTTAATACTGTAGTACTAAATACGTTTAATTTTGTGTATTTCATAAGTATATAGAGGCCCACTGTGACTCTTTATGATGCCTGGTCGAAATTTCTTCCACATGTTTATTGAAAAACTACCCTTTAATAATCCCAAAATAAAAGATGTTTATATGTCTTAATTTCCCTATAGCTATAGCTTGAAATGGCAAGGCTAAGATTGAAATGACAAGTATCTTTAGTATGTTTTCTTTAGATATAGCCTGAAAGGACAAGACCAGAACAAGCATCTCTAGAATAATTTTTGTAATAAACTTTTTTTTTTTTTTATGTCTACACTATACTAATATATTCTGCTCAGTTATACTTTAATTCATTTATAGTTATATTATGCTTAAGGTTAAATTTTTTAAATACATTTATTTATTTATATTTTTTTATTTTTTTTTATTTTTATACCAAGTAATTCAATAATTCTTTTATCTTCAACTATTCATCAGTGAATCTTTAGAAAAGTTTGCATCAGACAATTTAGTGACTATAACTTTTTAGAATATTTAGTGACTATAACTTTTTAGAATAGAATAGATTTTATTTTTATTGTTAGAATATTTTATTTCAGAAAAGAACTTATTTAACAGAAAGTAAAAAAAAAATCATATTTATATCTAATGTATAGACAACTTATTTTATATTCAGATTTTATTCATACTTAAAAAATACAGATTTCAGTTTTCACCATTTATAAAATCTAGAAAGCTATAAAGTATGGATTAACTCTGTCATGTCATCACAGCAAATATATTTGCAGTAATCTTTTTATTTATGGCTTTATATTTACTGTTAACTGATAGGCAGTTATATGTAAATATATTTTGACTTTTTTATTGTTGTTGATTTTTACTTTCTTTTAAAAAGTGGCGTGTGGTATGATATTACATGAAACGTTCACTATTTTAATACTATTGAGACATATAGCTAAAATTGTTTAGATGAAACAGTTATTCTGCAAAAATCCTATAAAAACAAAGATAATGAGCTGCATAGTTACACACCTGTAATTCGACACGGCGAAGCCGGTTAAGATTTTTATTCACCGCAAAATGAGTCAATAGACATATGCGTAAGTAATTTTTTTTGAAAAAGGTTTTAAGAATTTTATATTTATTTTTATATCTTTCAAAACTTCTCTTTATCAATTTAAGTGATTGAAAATCCAATAGTTTAAACAAAGCTGCTGCATGCTGGTCAATCTTCTCTCTCTCTCTCTCTCTCTCTCTCTCTCTCTCTCTCTCTCTCTCTCTCTCTCTCTCTCTCTCTCTCTACAGGAACACTTTGCAGAACAATTTGCAAGATTATTTTTAAAATTTATTTTGTTTCATTTTATTTACATTTTTCATTTATCACAAACCTATTTTAAATTGAAATGTCCCACTGCACTTAATTTCTAACAGCAAAATTAGTTTTGAGAAATAAAAATTTGCTATATTAACGTGTACATAAGAACATAAAGTTTTTAAATTAACGTGTAAATAATAAGATAAATTTTTGAAGTTATTTAATTTTTTGACATTTATTATTCAATATTCAATATTAAATAATATTCTGATCATGATAATTCCCAATTAAAGAAAAAATTTTAGTATATGTTTGCAGCTCTATTAAAATATTTTTCCAACTTTATTAAAAAATTACTCAAATCATCAATAAATTACTCAAATCAATTCAATAAAGAAGATGATTTGATATTGATCAAATCATCTTCTTTATTGATTTGCGTTTTTTAGAGGTTTGTATTTTTTTAAAAGAATTTTTCTTTTTTTTTAAATGTGTGATATCTTTTTAAAATATTTTATCTTTTAAAAATTACATTAATTGTGATTAGCTTAAACTTAGTAAAACTTAAAATAAATTTGAAGAAAATTTTTAACAGATAGATAAGTATAAGTTATAAGTAGCTTGAGTTAAAAGATTCCAATATTTTGTTGGTAATTATGTTAGTATTTTGTTGGTAACCATGTTAATATTTTGTTGGTTACTATGGTATTATTTTGTTGGTAACTATGTTAGTTTTTTGATAATAACTATGTTAGTGTTTTGTTTGGCTTTTATGTTGTTTTCTCAAGATTTTTTCAAGTTCATTAAAAACTTTACAGATTTTAATTTTTTACATAGTTACATATTGAAAGTTATTTTTTTGTCAAAAGTTTATTTCAAACTAATTTTAAATGCGTTTTTTAATATTTATTGACGATTGGGCCAAATTTCAATATAAACAACTAGTCAAATTTATGGAATAAATAAATGAAAAATATACAAAAGGATCAGTTTAAATTAATTGAAATGTTTGCTATTTCAAAAATAAATAAAGATTTTTTAAAAATGATTGTTATATTTTCTATTATCAAGTTAAGAAGTTAATAACAATTGAAATGCTTTTTAGATTATCCAAAATAATCAGAGGTAAAAGTTACTTAATTTATTAAAAAATAGTTGTTTTAAGTTATTACATAAACCCTTATATATAATAATAAGGTTATCATATATAGATGATAATTCTATATATGATTATTATCTATATATGGTTAAGATTTCATTAGTATCTCCAGAAAATGTAGGGAAAGTAGGGGCATAACCGCATATGGAGGCACAACCGTTTTTTAACATTTCCCTTTGAAAAATGTTATCTAATATGGCAAATAACATACCACGCGTTGGTAAAACAGTTTCCTTCATTTCGCTTATGTCAAAAAGAGTACTTATTACGTTTCTGAGAAGTTGTGCATTATAATGTTTATTTTGATAAAAGTATAATATTTACATTAAATTTTTCCAGACCTTTTTTTTAAGGATTAAGCAATATTTGATTTTAGTTTTAAAGATATATGTTATCAGCGTTCACCAGCGTTCACCAGCGTTATTTCATCAAGTAAAAACCTTTTTGATATCAACATCACCTAATAAGCAAGCTATGAAACAGTATTCTTTCTAAAAACTCTCCTCTGGGGCAGAACCGCACAGATGCACAGGAGGCGCAGCCACATACTTTTGATATTTATCAAAGTTAGGTAATTACGAATAACAACAATTACAATCATCACACTTGAATGTGTTCATGTAAAAATTCAAATAGAAATAGTTTTTTTTTGAGATGTTGGAAATTAGATATTGTATTTTTTTTTATTTAATTTTTATGAGTTTTTGATTAAAATATATAGTTAAGAGTATATAGAATGAGAAAACTCAGACTGTTCATCAAAGAATGCCTACACTGTATGCAAATGTGCAACAAAATTAGCAAGTAATCTTAGCTGTGACAATTGTAAAGAAAATGTACCAAGAAAAGTGTACCCCTAACGATTTTTGGAAGGGTGCGGTTGTGCCTCACAATAGGGGCAAAACTGTTTTTTTCACTAAGTGTAATTTTTGTGTAATAACATTTTCAAAAACTGTTTAATTTTTTTCTTAATTGCATCAATTTTTCTTTGAATCTCTCCCAATATTCTCACTAAGGCTGCAACTATATTTTACAATTTGTATGTGTGTGGCTTCATGTGTGAGGAGCTTATAAAAAAAAATTCGTGATCAACCATGGGAAAGTCATGGCTTTTTAATTTGGCTCTATTATTAATTGAAAGTGATAAAATGAAAGAGGTTGATTTTGACATTGTGATTGACAAGTTTTCAGCTTTAAAGACCAGGAAGGAAAATTTTTTAATAAAACAAAGTTTTAAGTTAAATACCAATAACTAGACTTTGTCATTTAGTGTAATTATGTTTTACTAATTTATGTTTTATCTGAAGTCTTGAAGTTAAGTTGTTAAGTTTTTTTTTCTTATGTCCTTGTTAACTTTTGACTTTAAAAACTTTTTATAAAAGATTATATAAGGTCTATAGTATAGGAACCCTCGGAAAAAGTTTATAGTGGTAAGTGAAAGTCTAGAGGGGTGACGCCAACCCTAGCGACGCCACTGTAGACTATGACGAGCACTTTCTATTGACAATCATCATGCAATGATTATTTCTTTAGATCTATTTAAAGTTAAAACTTCTTTTTTAAAAACTATAAAAAACAACTTGTGAATAAAGGATCTTTTCTATCTAAAACAATATATGTAAACAATATTTATAGTATATAATTATCTAAATTATGGTTTATAAAGTAAAAGATCTAATTTTTGATGATTTAAAAACTACAAATTTATCAGTTTTTCTGTAAATTTTACTTCAATACTGTTACCCCAGAATAATGCTGTGGTCCTATATTTAGTTACCAACATAGATCAATAAATGGAGGCTTGTAATACGATCCTTACATATTTTTAATGTGAAAATATTTTTTTAATGTAAAGTTTTTTTAGAAGTAATTAAAACCAAAAAACATAAATATTTTGATAATTACATTTTTTGTGTAAATTTTTTAGTTAGCTTCAAAGGAAGGCTATCTTACAAAGCGTGGAGATGTACATAAAGTATTTTTTTTTTAATAATTTTTAGATATATAAAAAGATGAAAAATGAAGAAGTTTTATTATAACTTTATTTTTAGAACTGGAAAGAGCGATGGTTTGTGGTACAGAAAAACACACTTCAATACTTTCATACGAAAACAGTACGTTTGAGATGTTTTTATATAATTAAATTTTTGGCAGCAGTTAAAAAAGGTAGTTGCCAAATTTTTTAAATATGTTTGTAAAAATTTGCCAAAATCAACTGATAAAAATGTTGTTTTTTGTTATTTTAATCGTTGGCAACGAAATTAAAACAATTTTTTTTAATTTTTTATTTAAGGCAAAGAAACCAATAAAAACGTTGGATTTATCTAAAGCTACAGAAACTGGAGAAGATACTTGCGATAATAAAATGAACTGTTTTAGGTTTTGCTTTTAGCAATCTTTATAGCAGTATTTATAAAGCCATAGTTATGTGCACTAATTTATGTTTACCATTCTGATAATTATGCGCTATTTCTTAAGTATTCTTTGAATCTTGTTTTTGTTTTTTAATATAGCATTATATTTTTATTAGGCTTGTGTTCCCTAATAGAACATTCTATTTTTTTGCAAGATCTCCGGCTCAAGTTAAAGAATGGGTTGAACTATTTCAATGGAAAATTGTAATTTTCATTAGTTTTAAATGTGAAAAATATTTTATTTATCTGAAAATATTTTATTTTTATGCGTTCATTTACACATTGTTTTGTTTTCACTGGTCAAACACATTTTTAATAAACTATTTAGATTACGTTAATGTTTGTTCAATTTTTTATTTATACACATTTTGTATAGGTTATTTGGATACGTTATTGTTATTCAATTTTTTATTTATTCTTATTTAGTGCATGATAATGTTTGCTTTAATTTCAGAGTTATTTCCAAAAATTGCAGCAAGAAGCTCACTGAAATCTGTGACGATTGACCTGGTGAAAATTCTGTACTGTTTATAAATTTAAGAAGTTAAATGAAGATGGTTTTTATTGCTATATTTTTTATGACTTATAGAGATTTATTTTATATATTTTTAGATGTTTTAATATATATTTTTATTTCATTGTAATCATTTTTAAAAAAATATTGAAATTTATCGTATTTTGTTTGAAATTTTTTTCTCGTGTTTATTTGAAAAGTCTTTATTTTTTTTAATTCAATTGACAAAGAAGTCCTTATTTTTGTTTTGACAAACAAAAACATTAAGTAACCTTCGGAACTTGAACAAACGTATAAAAGCGTAAAACTTTTGTAATATCTGTGTGAAGGAAATGATTTATCATATTATGATAATAAAATCAATACATAAGTCCGGAGTTCAATTATCTATTTAAATGTCAGATGCTTTTCATTTTTTTTATTAAGTTAACCTTATTGTAATTTTAATATTAAAATATTATTCAAGATTTTTTAATTTTTTATATTTATTATTTTTATTTTTACTATGTTTTTTTTTTATATAGTCTATTCAAATAGTTTAATTTTGATTCATTTTGATATTCTGTTGTGTTGTTAGTTAAAAAAATAGCTAATGAAAAATGACTTTAAACAATGAAAAAGCCATTATTAAAACTCTTAACTTGGGTGATTCAATAGATGAAATTGAGAATGATCAGTTTTTAAGTTCTGATGAAGATGCAGATGACTCAGAACTTCTTTATTGGAAATCATGCGCAAATTATATTGAAGATCTTCCGTAAGTAACTTCAAAAAAGTCGAGAATGACAAGTCACATTACTTAAAAATATTAATGTTATAAAGTTTAAATCAGTCAAAAAAAAAAAAAATTTTCTCATTAATTGCTTTACAATCAGTGAAATAAAAAATAATTAAAAAAAAAACAACTGTGTAACACTTAATTCTGCAATTTGTATTTCTAATAACTATAGGTGGTTTCATGGGGACATGACTCGGAATACATCAGAAGCTCTTTTACTTGCGAACGGTGTAGAAGGAACTTATTTGGTTAGAAACAGCGCGTCTGATCCTGGAAGCTATACTGTGTCTGTAAGGTAAAATATTTTGATGAATTGATTTGGCGAACACAGTTGTTATGTGGTGGTAAATTTTAGTTTCTTATTTTCTTCAGATGTCAGAGTTCTATCAAACATTACAGTCTACGTCATAACGTTCATGACAATACATATACTTTTGGAAGAGGATTTTATGATTCATACAATGACCTAATAGATCATTTTGAGTGTAAACCAGTTTTAACTGGAGAAACTGGTAATTTTTTTTGTAAATTTAGTTTTTCGAATAGTTATTTCAATTTAATGCTTTCTACGTTCTAACTTCGCGCTTTTTATTATATATAGTCGAGTTCAAACGTATTTTTCTTTTGTTTTGTTTTGTTGTTCTTATTGTTGTTGTTGTTTTTTTTTTGCATTGAAACTTGATTTTATGTAATATTTGGTTTCATTTAGTAAATTTGTTGTAAACAAAACTTTGTTAAGGTGAACCGGTAATATTTCGATATCCATATATCAAAGATGTCCCCGAGCCATCCAGCTATGAAAAAGTGTTACGCCATGCCGAAGAAGGTAAAGAAGAAATAAATTACACCATCAATATACAGGAATTGACTGATTACCATGTATGATTTATGTATTCATTTGTTTGCTAAATTCGATAAAGTTATATGTTTGTGTGCTTCTCTGTGTGCCTGTCTCTGTGTGCGTCTCTGTGTGCCTGTGCGTGTCTCTGTGTGTGTCTAAAGTTTCTTTGTTTCTGAAAATCAATTTATATTAAAAACTCTCGTAATGGTACTTTCCGCTCCGTAAAAAAAATGTGGTTTATATACTAACAAAACAAAAATATTTTTTTAATCAGTTTTTTAAAAACTGTTACTCAATATTCATTAGAGTTAGTGTAACTTCTATGCAGCCAGTCGCTAGCGATACGAGATCGCAATTAATTGTTTTTGTCTAACTTATTTTGCTCATAAGCAGCTATCGATTTAGTTGTTAGGTACAAAAAAAACTTTTTTAATTACATTAAATAAATTTTATGTATATTATGATTGAATATTGTTATTAAATTGTTTTCAAATAACTTATATATTTTAAACTTTATAAATTATGTTTTATATCAAAAATTTCATCTAGTCATAAATAGTACACATATCAAGTGAGATTTCCGCTCAAAAAGAAAGTTATAGATTTTTTTTTATTCCTTTTCTTCTTTTTTGGTTCTGAAAAAAGTTATTTGTTCGTAGAAATTAAAATTAGTTACAACAATTAATGTCCTGTTGCCCTAAGCGACCATATATGTGACGCAACATTAATACGACATCATATGCTGCGTCACATATTGTGACAAGCGTAGGAACTTGTTTATTTTAATCGATATCGTGAGAATTTGTTAGGTGAAAAATAAAAATCCTGATGAATTGTCCGAACATTTTTAATTTGTGAGATTTTTAATTGTTTTACATTATTATTGTTTACCTCGCTTTTCACTATCATGCTATAAATATCAATTTGTAAATTCAAACTTGAGCTATTAAATTTTATAACAAAAAACAGCAAATAACAAGCCTTAATAATTCGCAAGTTTCTTTTATATATATATATATATATATATATATATATATATATATATATATATATATATATATATATATATATATATATATATATATATATATATATATATATATATATATATATATAACAAAAAAACTATTAAAACGCAGTGATAATAACGCTGAAATAAAAAAAAATTTTAATGTAAATGGTCATAAAAATAGTTTAACAACGGTTTTGATTTAATTTATATACTTCTTGGAGGATGAAGGGGGAAGAGCCGTAAAACAGATAGATTCTAATCTAATCAGGACTACGTGTCCGCAAACGTAAAAGAAAATGTTTTTTAAAAATGATCTACCTAAAAAATTAATAGAACCAATAATTTTATATTTGTTTTTAAAGCAAAGTTCATCGTTTTAAAAGTAGTAAAAAAAATTAAAACAGTTTGAGTAGTATTTTATATTTTATTCCCTTGCACATTTTGTTGACGTCAAAAAAGTGTTTTTGAATAATAAAAGAACTAAAATCGTCATTTACGGAAATGTAAAGTAAATAATCCTCTTTACAGTTCCAATATTTTTGTGCGCCCATATTTAATATTATGAATTTTTTGTTCATTTAGTCGGCAAATGTGACCGTCTTAGTCAAGTAAATGAGGCAAATTTGACCCTTTTAGACATATCAGTCGGCAAATGTCGACCAGTCAATCGACAAATTATAAAAAAAGTGGACGAATAAAAACAAAATTTTAATTATATAATTTTTGGATTATTTTATCTGTTACTAGTTTGTTGTTAGATTAGCATTTGTCAAAAAACTGATCAAGTAATTCAGTGTAAAATTTTGTTTAATAATTTGATTGTTTAATAATGTAAAGTTGACATATACTAACATGTAAAATTGTATTTCTGTACTTGTGTACGTAAAGTAGCGAACTGTATATATTTAATAATTATATATATATATATATATATATATATATATATATATATATATATATATATATATATTTATATATATATATATATATATATTTGTAATAATTTTAGATTGCATCGAAAGAAGGTTATTTGATAAAAAGAGGCGCTTTACACAAAGTATTTTGACGTATTTTGTTTTAAATAAATAATTTTATATTTATTAAACTATAAAATGTTTTTTAAAATTATTTTTTTTGTTTTTGTTTTTTATAGAATTGGAAAAAGCGATGGTTTGTTTTACACAAAAACATATTGCGTTATTACGCAAATAAAGACGTAAGACTAATTAAATACATTATATACACACTAAAAAAAAGGTATAAATTTCTACATCACATATCCTACCCCCTAAAGGTAAAAAATTTTAATCTTAAAGTAAAAAATTATGCCAAAAATGGTTATACGTTGTGTAATTTGCTTAAGGGTATAATGTTCTACCTTAAAGGGAATAATTATCTTAAAGGGTAGGATGTGTGATATACCCTTAAAGTTATAAGATATACCTTATGCTTATTTCTACGCTTTTTTTATCTTTTATTTATATCATATACCTTTACTTCATACTTTAAATATTAATAATATATATAATAATTTCATTTTATTATTTGCAAATGTCTAAATTTTTTTTTATCTTTTTCAGTAAAATTGTTTTCGTTTAGGATACCAATCCCATTCGAATGATAGATATACGACATGCGTATATTGCTGTTGAAACAGAATGTGATAACAGACGATGCATTAGGTAATTAACGTTCATTCAATTAATTACTAGTTAATATTCATTTTTATTTTGTACCATTACACAACTTTTAGTTTAGTACTTCCGTTTCGAACATTCTATTTTCATGCACCCACGTGGCACGATTCTTTAAGTTGGTTTGACATATTGCAATGGAAAATTGTAAGTTTTTTCTATAAATTGAAAAAGTAGCTATTTTGTAGTTCTTTGTTTTTATGTTTAAATATTAAACTTATTTTTTATTTATATTATCATTGTTGTTTATGTTATACGGTGTCATCGATTTTTTCTTCCTCTAGAATTATTATAAGAAGCGGATGAATATTGAACGAGAGAATACGATGTAAGCAAGCTTTTTTTGTACAAGAGTGAAAAATTGTTTTTTTAAAAACTTTAAAAACTGTTTTGTTTTTTTAGGAACCGAGAAGCACGTGATCCTGAAAGTTTTGTTCGTGTTTAAAAAAAAGAAGAAAATAAAAAGTAACTTTTTCTACTTCAGTAAATTTTTTTTTAGAATTTTTTAACTAGTTTATAAATATAAGACTGTTAGAGGAACTTAGTCCCTCTCACACTCGCTAGAGACTTTTAAAACTTTAAATAATCCCTTTTTTTAATAATATAATTTTTTGTAAATAATTTTTAATTGTAAATGGATAGTATTTAAGAATAGTATATTTTTTTCCCTCTTTCTGGAATTAATGATTATTTGAAGAATTTTCAAGAAACTAGGCAATAAACTAAATACAAGATCCAAGAAAATTTTTAAAATTATTTATTAATTTTTTATATTGTTTCTAAAAGTTTATGTAAATATATATGTATATTATATACATGTTTTTTGAAATGCGTATAGAGAAATATTTTATTAAAAAATATATGAGAATGTTCTGTTGCATTTTAAGTTTTTTCTTCTAACGTTTTTAACTTTTCCACAAACTCAGTTATCACATCGCTGAAATCCATAGTTTCTAACAATTTTGCCATAATCTTGCCATATTACTTCCCAGACAGCAAGCTTACATTGGCGTAACGTAAGTTTTAGCATTGGCAAATTTATTCCGTTGGGCCAATGGTTTTTTTTGGCGTATTATTTCAATTCTGCAAATCGGTTTTTTGCAAATATTGCACTAGATTGGGCAAACATTTAGCCAATGATTTTTTTCGTAATATTGCAATTCTACAAATCGGTTTTTTGTAAATATCGTGCTATGTAGAGCCAACATTTGGCCAATGTAGGCTTAATATTTGCTATGAAAATCTAATGCCGTAGCCAATATTCGGCCATTTTAGTTGCGGACCATTTTAATAGTATACAGTGAACTCCCGATATCTCGAACCTCCAAGGGACCTAGAAAATAGTTCGAGTTAGCGAATGTTCAAGTTATCGGGACATTCTATAACACGAACTTCGGCCGATAAGTAAAAACAATTCGAGTTATTAAAAGTTTTGATCTCAAAAGTTTGTTGCAAATCTTTACCCACAAGACTGAAGGGCATATAGTCATACAACACTTGCAGTGCCTCCTGAATACCACTAACTTTTGGGCAAACTTTGATTTGAAACTTGGGCAAAGATTGATTGCATTATCATCATTATCTTCCTCGTCATTATCATCATGTTCATTCGCTCCATTTTTAACTTCTTCAATCAACTATTCATCTGTAAGTAAAGGTTCTGTGCTAATTAAACTTTCATCTGCAAAACCAACATCTTCAGCTGTTGTACCTAGAGGGTAAAAATTATCAATTTTTCTATCTTTAAAGAAGTCGTTGTCTTCATCCGAATATGCAGATTTCTGCTGATCTTCAGAAATCACTGCTTTTGCAAAACAATTAATGATGGTGGAGGTTATCATTTTTTGCCATGCAAGATCAAGCATTTCATTGCATCTAAAATTGAGAAAACAGGAAGATTTTTTTTTTATCAATAGCTACGACCAGCCTTTGCAATGCCAAAGATCTGTAATAAACTTCCAAAGAGCGTATAACTCCCTGATCCATTGGTTGAAGTTTAGATGTGGTATGTGGTTTTATATGTGGTGGTAAAAAAATAAGCTCAATAGATTTTAGATTATCAACCGTCGGCAGTGCTGGACAGTTATCTATTATGAACACTACTTTCTTCTTTTCTTTTATAAACTTTGTATCCATTTCTCGTATTCACTCTTCAAACAGTACGTTATCCGTCCAGCTTTTATTTTGATTTCCGTATCTGCAAGGTAAGTGCTTAATTCCTTTGAAGCAGCGAAGTGATTTTGATTTTCCTTTTACAAACATAGGAATTTTATCATCCACTGCACTTGCTGCGACCATTCCTGTAAGACGAATTTTATTGTGCTTTCCCCCTATACATGCCTCAGATTAAAGATTAAGTGACTTATTAAGTTGCATACGAAAAAACAGTCCAAATTCATCTGCATTATAAATTTCATCAAGTTTATACCTGAATAAAATTGTGGGGAGAGTTGTTTCCTTCCATGGCGTGGTCATTTTAGCTGTATAAGAGTTACCCTCTCCACATACACTGTTAAAAAATACGCCGTAGAATCTACGGAGATTGTCCGGCAGCAAAGTGTCAGCACTTTCTCCGTAAAAATTAACGGTTTCCGTAGTTTCTATTTTCCGTAAAAATCAACGAAAAAAGTCCGTTAAAAAAGTTACAGAACTTTCTCCGTTTCACGGTTTCCGTATTTCATTTTTTCCGTACAAAAACGGAGAATGTTAGACAACAAAGAGACAGCACTTTCTCCGTAAAACTTACGGTTTCCGTATTTCATTTTTTACATGCAAATTAACGGAAAAACTCCGTTAATTCAGCAAATTGACATTTACTTAACTCATTTATCAGAGTTTAAGCTAAAGTCAAAAATAAATGAATAGAATTTATATGTTGTTACAAAAATGTAATTCGACTATTAAGAAACTACTCGTATTATGATACACATCAAGTAATAATAGCTATAATAATTATAAACAAATTATATTATATTATAGTGATTATTATATATATATATATATATATATATATATATATATATATATATATATATATATAACAATATATATATATATATATATAATAATATATATATATAATAATATATATATATATATAATAATATATATATAATAATATATATATAATAATATATATATATATATATATATATATATATATATATATATATATATATATATATATATATATATATATATATATATATATATATATATATATATATTGTATTTTATATACTATATAATATTTATGATAACAAATAATATTTTATTATGACAAATTATACTATATTATAAAAGTTGTTATATATATTACGTTATAATAGTTATAATAAACATAAACAAAACGTTTTTCGATCTATTGATGCTCTGTCCACTCAAGCGCTAGTTTGCTTATGAAACTTTTGGGTGAGGTCTGACTGCTTTTTTACCAGTTTTTCTTTTTAATTTCATTTCATTTTTCACGATTCAATTTTGCAATACATTTAAATAATAATAATTAGATCATATTAATAAATCATTATTTACAGTATAAAAAAAGAAAATAAAGTAATTTTGAAAAACTGTATTTACAGCGAGCATGTAGCGCATGCAGTTGCAGATAATCAGGATGTAGTGATGTAGAAGAAAGTATAGGCAAGAAGTAGATAAAATTAAAGAATAAATTGCAGGTGATATGAAAAAGCTATGGATTTTTATAGATTTTGTATAAACAAGTATGAAAGTATATTATCATAAATGACCCTTATCATTGTACTTTCGTGTTTTTCGTGGCAAAAAAAGAGCATTCTTGTGAAGTAAATCCATGATTTCAGCCGACAGCTTTTTCAGGGAACTTCAATCTAATCGTTTAGCATAGCAATGGAAGATTCAAGGTTGGGTTGAAATCGAAACCAAGGCATGAACCTAAGAAAAACTTTTAATAGTAGTATTTCATTTTAAAAGTTACAATTAAAATTAATCAATGTATATAAATACAAATAAATAATTAAATGATAATTTAACAATTATTAACATCAAAATTTCTATTCTACAAATAACTTTGTCAAAAACCACAATTTTAAATAATTTAAACATAGATCTTTTTTAGACTGCACTACAAAAAAGTAAATATAAATATGCATCTAACATACTATTTTATTTAATATATACCTTCTTTCCATGCGTTTATCCTCCATGTGGTTTATCCTTCTCCGAAAAACTGCCTTATATAGAGGTTACATACCTAGGCCCACAAAAACCAGTTCAGCTCATTAAACAGCATCATAACCCCTTTGCAGACCAAAGGTTGGCATAAAGACAGTATTACACTAGGTGTTAGAATGTGCAATTTATGTTCAATATCAAGTTCACTTGATAGGAACCCATGTTATTGATAAAGTTTTACATAATTTACGTAAATTTTATATATATATATATATATATATATATATATACATATATATATATATATATACATATATATATATATATATATATATACATATATATATATATATATATATATATATATATATATATATATATATATATATATATATATATATATATATATATATATATATATATATATATATACCTTGTACATGTATGTATATATATAATATATATATATATATATATATATATACATATATACATTCATGTACAAGGTATCAGAGAGAAAGTTAGAAGAAAACGAGTTAGAAAGTTAACATAGACACAGCAGACAGTATTGCACAAGGTGTTATAACGTGCAACTTATGTTCAATATCAAGTTTACTTGAAAGAAACCCTTGTTATGTATAAAGTATATATATATATATATATATATATATATATATATATATATATATATATATATATATATACATATATATATATATATATATATATATACATATATATATATATATATATATATACATATATATATATATATATATATATATATATATATATATATATATATATATATATATATATATATATATATATTATTAGTCTGGCTTTTTTTAATAGTTATTATTATCCTTTTGGTTATAATTATTTTTTGGTCACTATCTATATTATTACTTTTTGTTGCTTGTTTTTTTTTTGCTGTGTTTATATATATATATATATATATATATATATATATATATATATATATATATATATATATATATATATATATATATATATATATATATATATATATAAACACAGCAAAAAAAAAACAAGCAACAAAAAGTAATAATATAGATAGTGACCAAAAAATAATTATAACCAAAAGGATAATAATAACTATTAAAAAAAGCCAGACTAATAACAAAAACGTTAAAAGTGAATGAGCTGAGTTGAGAGATAATAAATGAATGAAATAACATAAGGTTTAACGATCAGAAGGGTGATAGAAAATAAAAAAGAAAATTAAAAGACACATTTAAATATTATGAGACAAAAAAATATAAAATCATTCAAATAATAGCAGCAAGTGTAAAATGCAACAATAATAAAAATAATTAGCAACAACACACAAAAAAAAAGAAGCACAATACACATATGAACATGTCAATATAAACGATGCACAAAATTACATGACAGTATAAACAAAAATAGAAATACACAACAACAGATGCGGATTAAGCTTTTGTGGGACCTGAAGCTAAGTGAATTTTTGGGACCCAAAAACAAACCAAACCAACCAAAGTCTCTCTTTGTTGATATTTTCGTGCTTATAGAAATCTATAATTTAATAACTCTCTAAAAATCTTCGT